CCTACCTTCTTATTCCCTGCATTCTGGCTCCCATCCAATTGTTTATTTTCCTTTGCAATAAATAGTTCATTTCATTTAATCCTAACATAAAACAAGGCATCATAAAATTGCAAAAAAATACTAAAAAAAAAGCCTAAAAAGAAGCTGATGCCCCTCATGAGGCAAGGGAGAAGGAAGCTGTGACCATTTAGGGCCCTGACTGAGTCCAGGCTGCTGAGCCCCAAAATCCTGGCGACGTTTCATTTGACTTTCTAAGCAGATACGACCCACTTTAAACACTAAGAAAATAATGCCTCCTGGAGGATCCATCCATACCATAGCTATGTACCTCAGATTTAATAGGATTGCTCTAATTTTAGTTATTTTACCTACTGTCTCTCCAAGCCATTGAAACACTCAAAAAATTCAAATAGTTGTGAATCCAAACCATGCCTTTCAGACCTCTCGCATCTGGAAATAGCATCCATGACTGTTGTTGAACCACATTTCCAATTTTTGGAAAAGAGCTTCCGTGACTGGGGACCACATTTCACAGCAATGAAGCAGAATGTCATGCAAGAAATGCCCCCTTGGCAAAGACCAGGACATCCCCAACTTAGCTAGATTCTGATTCTGATGGCAGCCCATGGAAACTTCCTCTGGTGGTTGGTTTCCATGAGGTTGGAGGAAAATCGCTGACATGGAAAAGGACTAACATCCCAGTCTGTCCTGGCTCTTTCCCCCTGGGGCCCCAGTGTACACTGCCACAACCTGCTGGTCTTCCTGGGGTTCTCAGTGCCAGTGCCATCAGAACTGTTGTATTTGGCTGAAATGTGAAAAACTGTTTCTGTCTTTGGTTTGAGTACGATATGCCTAAAAGGGAGAAGAAACTAAGAAATATTCTTAAATATAAAACTAACAGAGCTAGTTTCTTATCCCAACTTCTTAAATTTTGGTCAATATTTGACTTAGCTGTGACAGCATTAAAAGAACCAGCAGTGGTTCTAGACCAAAGGAAAATGGGTTTGGCATTGCTTCCAGATCTGGCAGGCGTCTCAATTCCTAAGAGAATCTGCTTCTAAGCATCTCTGGATAAGACCTTCCTTCCCAAAGTGCACCCTCCACCTCTTTGCCTTGAAATACAATACACTTTGTATCCGCAGTCACTCTGGTTCTTGCTGTGGGCCTTGGCACCTCGGTAGTAGGAAAGGGAACCTGCATTTCTAGTGCCTCTGCTACGTGCCAGGCACTATCCTATAGATGTTATGTGATACATCGTGAAGAAAGGCTCCAAGTGATGAAAGGTAGATCCCTCCCTGGACCTTAAATACTGTCCCCTCAAACTCAGAAATATGCCCTAAGTATTAAAACAATGGTAGGAATGTCCATCAATGCCCCCACCAACCAGTATGTAATGCAAAGTATAAAGAATACTGAACTGTAAAAACAAATAATGTACATATAAGCTACAATGAAACAATAACAAAAAACCCACTTCCTTCCAGTTTTCCTGCTTACAAATTTCTAGATAAGTTCATTGAACCTTAACTTGTATCCCTGTTCCCCTTTTGTGAGTGTGTTGGCCTTGGTGAGAGGGACAGGTTACCACCTCTGCTTGGCTAGTGCTGGAAAGACAAGCTTAGTGTGCCTAGCAGGCAGCCCAGTGCTGCCAATGCTTCAGGGGACTCTAGGCTGGCCCAATAAATGATTGTTTTGGTCCATCTGTTGAAGTTCTTGATAGCTTGGAGCCCTAGACAGAAAAGCTTTGTCTGTGACTTGTTTCTCCAACTTATTCAATGTGCCTGACACTGATTCTTTAGATGGCCATCAAGGCTGATTCTAGCCTTTGGTGAAAGTATAAATCTTGCTTTTATGGTGGCATCTAGTAGTCTCTGTAATGGACATAAAGCCTTAATTAATGGCCAGCACATATTCTTCACATGTCCCATTAGAGTCTGTAATACCTTTGACATATTATAGATATACTTCACATCTCACATTTCCCTTTCTCTCAGCATTTTGAAGGTATAATTCCATCATTTTTTCTGGCTCCTCTCATTACTTTGCAAAGTAAGCTATTAGTCTAATTGTCATTTCTTTTTAGGTAATCTGTCTATTCTCTTACTGCTTTTAATATCTTTTTAGTCTTTGTTCTTCTTCAGCTTCACTATGAAGTGTCTTATTATAGTTTTCTTTTTATTTATCCTACTTAAGAATCATTGAGCTCCTGGCTCTGAAGAGTGTGATCTTTCATAAATACTGGGATATACTCAGTCTGTTTCTCTCTGAAAAGTGCTTCTCTTTCATTTTCTGTCCTTTCTTTGTAGACCTCTGAGTAGACAAAAATTAAAATTTTTTATTTTTGGTGTTCATGTGCCTTAGCATCTCTCACATTTCCAATCTCCATTTCTCTATACTGCTTCATGTGTGTTTTCTTCAACTCTTACCTCTGCTTAACTAATTCTCCCTTCTAATTGTATCCAATTGACTACTTAACCTGTCCAGTGAGGTTTTAATTTCAATTATATTTATTTTTCATTTCTAGATGTTCTGATTGGTTCTTTTTCAAATCCATTCGGTCATTGTTTTCAGTTTCTTTTTCTTTCTTTGAGGCTTTTCATTCCCTCATTCATTTATTCTAACATATTTAAAAGGCTTATTTTATATTCTGTGTCTAATGGTTTCAACATCTGAAGTCTTTTCATTTCCAAATCTGCCCCTCATTTCTATCAGCTCCTGCTCATGGTAGCTTTTTCCTTGTGTACTTTTTGCTTTTTTTATTATGAGTTCATATTTGGAGGGATTTTATCTGTTGAAATTCTTTAAGGCCTGGGTCAATGATGCATTTCTAGTTTTGTTTCTATTAAACAGCAGGACTCTACCAACTAGGAGCCCTTTCAAGTTAATTCTCAGTTTAAGGTTCTTTGGGATTAGGAGTGAATTCGGGCCTCAAACCTATACAATTTCAAGGATTTTTTTTCTTTACCCAGAGCCAAGACCAAGCAAGGTCATGGCCTTTTGGTGATGAGGAGGTGGGAGGCCTAACTTGTGAGTCCCCAGCTTGTACAGCCCCCAGCTTTGCCTCTGTCATTCTGCATGGCACTTAAGACAAAAGCCTTTGGTCACTGGAACACACAGTGTGTTTGACATTCTCTCATCAGTCTGAATTCATGTTTTGGCATTTTTAACCTCTGCAAATTTCCCTATTTTTCTTGTCAGCAAATCCAAATATTCAAAAATATATGTAACCTGTTTTTTTTTAATTCAGTATTTACTAAAAATACTGAATTAAAAAATACTAAAATGCACTAAGTTTATTAGTAAGGTTGTTCTTTTTAAAATGGATATTTAGTATGCATTATTGCTGGAAATTTAACTCTTCATTCTCTCTAAAGTTCTTTTTCTTTTAGAGGGATACTTCTATTTTGTACCTTGTTTGTGGAGAGAAATAACCAAGAGGACTCAAGTTTAACAAGTAATCAAGCGTGGCTATTATTAATTAATTCCTTCTCCAGGTTCCCTTCTTGACTACAGCCAACCAGGTTTCATACATCCGACCTTCCAAGGCATTTTGTTATAACTCATAATATTAGCAAGATTTCACTATTTTTTTAAAAACTGTTTTTCTTTAGAGAGGAAGATAAACAATAATTTCTCCCATAAGCGGCTTCTCAGAAATCAAGCATGTGTTAGTTTGCCTTGGTAGCACAGTATGGATATTTATTTATTCATTAATGCAACCTATTTTAAAGACTATGTGCTAGACATTCTGAGAGGCGCAGTCTGTAAGGTGGAGCATTTATTCAGCAAGCATTTCGTAAGTTCCCACCATGTTCCAAGAACTTGAAAAACAGTATGAACAAAGGCATAGAGGCAAGAAACAGCTTGGCATATTTAGAGACCCAGAGTAGTTTATAATGAATATGGGGAGCAAGGAATGGGAAAAGAAATAGGATAAAGTATTCACAAACTTATGTAAACTCTTCTTGAGCTTATATTTGTGTTCAAACTTTTTTAACTTTTAGGATTAGTATGCATTCTTCACTTCCTATGAGTAAATCAACACTTTATAATCTTTTCCTTTCAAAAAGGGTATCTGAATGTGTAGAAGTCTTAATCAGAAAATAAAACAGAAGTTTTGTGATTTATAAGCACCCTGTCATGCATCTCTGATCAGTGCCAGGCCCTGGGCTGCAGTGGGTCAGGGTAACCCATGAGGGTTGGGGACCAGAGGTAGGGATAGGTACAGGAGGACACAGCAGGCCCTTCTTGCATATGACATCAGGCTGGGAGTCACCACCAGGGGGAATGCTGAAATCTATGTGACAAAAATAAGGTCAGTGCCCTAGAAATTAGGCTGGACCAGAAAGAAAAGACCAAGTAGCAGAATCTGAAATACCAAGGTCTAAGGGTGAAGCCCAGCTCCAGGGGATAGGAAGACGAAGAGTCCAGGTTGGATGGCCAGGGAGACTTCCTCTGTGTCTGATACAGATGAACAGGCCCACAGAAGGGTTCAGCTCAAGGATGACTGTCCATCCTAGGACAGGGAGTGTCTCCCCTGCCTTGGGTTTTGGAATCATCCTTATTTCAGGCAGGCAAGGGAGGTCATGGTCCAGAGCAGCCCAGGGTCTGCAGCTGGGCAAGCCAGGCCCTACAGGATGGGTCTGGCTGCATGGTTTTCATACCTCATTTCTCACAAGCCATATTCAGTCACACCTGCAGAACTGTGCCCAGGCCTAAAATATGAGAATTTGGTCTTAGCAGGCAAGAATCTGTAGTAGAACTCCTGGGAAGAGTTTAGGAAGACTGAACAATATATCACCTGATGATTTCTAAGATCCAGTGGTCTGCTTTTCACTGGGAAGACTCTCTGGCATTACTGAAAAAAAAAAAAAAAAGTGGATAACAGAAGCCTTGGGGTCTACAAATATGACATTGTGCCCTGTTTCAGAACATAAGAAATCAGACTGCCTAAGACAGGTGCATGTGCTTTAGTAGAGAAAAGCTCTGAGGGCAATAGATGTACTTGTTTTCAGCTTTATTAATGAATAAACAACAAACGAATCCCAGGGCTAGGCTTTCTGAGAGGCGACCAGCCCAAGCACTTCTCTGAATCTCTTCAGTGACAGGCAAGGTTTCCTGAAGGCAAGAAAAGGAATGAAAAGTCAGAACAGTCACTGTGGCTTTAGGGTGTTGCAAAGGTAATCTAGATTATAGATCACTGGCTCTGTCAGGCCATCCATCTGCCTGAGGCCCAGATCACGGTGACTTATGACCACAGTGACTTATCACCACAGTGACTGATGGGAGGATGAGCAAAACAGATATGCACTCTCCCCTACCCTGTCCTCTCCTCAGACCTGCTAGGGCCTGGTTCCCCTGACCTAGCTCCCACTCTAAACCCCAGTGTGGGCCTTGCCCTCCCTCCACCTCTCTCTCAGGTCCAGCCTTCAGAGGCTCACCTTCCTGCCCCACTTCCTGAAATCCTTTAAGGAAAGGAAGGGAGAGCATACTCTGGGCTGTACCCTTCAGGGACAGTGACAGAGCTGAGCAGGGCTTTGGATAACCCAAGAGGAGGTGGAAGGGTGTTCTAGGCAGAGGGCCACCGAGGACAATGTACAGATGAGAACACAGGGCTTCAGAAAGGGAGAGAGGTTAGAAAAATAGCTTGGAGCATTTTAGAATGGTCTGAAATTCCAGGCTCAGTTTGAACTTTATAAGCAATCTGAAGTCATTTGAATTTGGGGATAGTGAGGGAAGGGTGAAAATAAAAATGAACGTTTACAGTTTTAAAATAACAGCTAATATTTACTCTTTACAAAGCATCGTTTGTTCCTTTGGACCCTCACAACAGCCCTGTGGAAAAGTCGTGTTGGGTCTAGAGGCAGGTGTGGGATGAGCACAGTGCTGCTGGGTTCTCCGTGGAGCCGATCGGGGGGAGGTAGACATAACTGCGCCTTCTCTTTGTTTCATCCATTCCACAGACGATCAGGCTGTCTCTGAGCAGTGCTCCTGCCCTTATCTGTGGGCTGGAGGAGGAGAGGTTAGCAGGGGTGGGAGAAGAGGGCAGAGCCAGGAGCCAGGACACGGTGGAGAGGAGTCAGGTGAACAGAAGAGCAGCCAGGACCACGCTGGCCAGCCGGTCATGAAAGGAAGTGTTCATTAGCAGCCAGACCTCACCCTGGTGCCCCTGCCCTGAGCAACCCTGGAAATCTCTCCTAACCCCCAGTTTGGAAGACACACAATCAGGCCATTCCAGTTCAGACCACACAGGCTGCTTATGGGATACCCAGGTTTTCTAACAGTACAGGCACTTTGTGGGAGGGGACATAAAAGGTTTGAAATGTGTTTGTTATCAAACACAATGGGATCAGTTATACTGCTGCAGGAATCTTCTGGAAATTTTTTTTCTCTGCAGTGAGAATAATTAGGAACGGGAAATACAGGTATGATCAGGAAAAGGACTAGTAATCAACCTTGTATTGACTTCTGTCTCGCTCTGCTTGTGCCAGTGGAAAACAGTATGCACAAGGATGATGAAATGCTAATGTGGGCTTCACGGCAATCAGGGGGACAGTTATAAATAGAGCAGGCTTAAGAATGGATAAAATGGCTTTGCTGCAGACTCAAATATGGTTTAAGGAAAGGTATTTATTTATCAACATTCTAGAATTTTCCAGCTGATATTCCCCTTCCAGTTTTCGTTCCAGAGCCTCAGACAAAAGATGCCTCCAGGGGGAGATGAATTTTTTCCATCTATGTAAAACTATGCATGCTGTCCTTCCATGGGTTACAATTGCATGAAACACAAGCCTGGCAACTGATTTGAACCCCAAGATTCATAAAACTTTGGATTTATATATAATAAACTACAGGATAATGAATAAGATCAATGATGATGGCATCTCAGACCTGAGTCTAATTCCTGCTCTAATTTCCCAAGGGTGAGTCCTCAGGGGAGCTACTTAACATTAGGCCTCAACTTCCTCATCTGTAAGACAAAGATAATAGTATCTATCTCGCAGAGCTGTTGTGGAGATTGAATGAGATAAATGAGGCAATACACTCAAATAAATATTAGCTATCATTGTTGTATTATTAGCAAAGCTTTTAGGAGACATACACAGAATACACAACTGCGGTGAAGGCAAGACCAGAGCAAATCCCAGGGATTATCCAATCACAGAATCATATAACTAATCAACAGATACTTTCAAAATTGTTTAAATCTTATCTGATGCTAGAAACTCTTTCCTATCCACTGCTCTCCCTAAGTGCACATACCCAGCCCTTGCTTGAACATGTACATCCAGTAACAGGGAATTCTGCAATATCAGGCCAGTACCAGAGAGTTCTGTTGGAAAGTTGCTCTGTATATTGAATCTAAACCTAATCTCCTAGAACTTTCACTCAGTGGCTTTGTTTCTTCCTCCAGAGTGATGGAAAACAGGCCCATACGGCACCTGTCAAGCACTGAAATGACATCATTACATTTATTCTTCTTTAAATTAAACCACCTCAGTTCCTTCAACTATTTTTCAAAAGACATGTTTCACATCACCACCCTGGTCTCACTTCTCCCAGATCAATGGTTCTCAACTGGGGCGACATGTCTGAAAACATTTTTGGTTGATGCAATAGCAGTAGGAGTGATACTGACATATAGAAGGTAGAGGCCAGTGATGCTGCTAAATATCCTCCAATGCACAAGACAGCCCCAAACAACAAAGATTTATCCAGCCCAAGTAGTTCATAGTGCTGATGTTGGGAATCCTTGTCCTAAATATACATCTTAATCAGTGTTCTTCTTAAAGTATGGGCCAAAAATGTGTATAGGTGAGTGTCAGAGCTAACACCACCACTGTAATGTCATTACATTTCTATTAAATTAGCCTAACATACGGGTAGTTCTGTAGTTAGTAGTTGGTTAAAGCCCCCCTTCTTGTGTTGCTACTAACACAAGAATGGCATGCATGGGGCATGTATGCTCACTTGGAAAACACTAATCAGTGGTGGCACTCTTCCCTGTGAGTCCAGAGGCAACCCTGCAACCCTTTCCAACACAATAGACCACCACTACTAATCATTTGAATGATTGTTGGCATACAAGAAGAAACCCATTTGCTGGCCATATTTCCCTGGTTTTGTGGTTGTGGGACACAGGTCAAGATATAATCCTAGGGCCTGTGCTTTGGAGGAATCCATAATACTGGGTCTCCCTTTCCCAAACACAAAGCCTGGCCATCATTGCCATTGAAGCCGTGTGAACAGATCAGCATACTGCCCAGAAAGTATGCCCTCTCTCATCCACCCAGAAATTCTTCTTGAGCCTCCCCTCACCACACTTGATGCCCCTGCTCTCAGTTCCCTGAAACAAAGCCGGCCTTAACTTTACCAGCTTAAAGAGGTACAGGGGAGAGGGCTAGAGATGTGAAAACATACTCTACACCCTAGATTCTTCAGGAAAATAAATGAAAAAACTTGAGTAGACAACAATCTGAGTGTCTCGGAAACCTGAAACCCATACTAATTAATATCTAGGAAATAGACAGTTTTACCTTGAAGCCCAATGCTTTGTTCCACATAATGTTTTAAAATAATTCCTTTTCTCCTTTTATGGAGGGAGAAAAGAGAACATTTTTGGATATGCTGAAATAAATGCCTTCAATTTCAGCATTCCTTATAAACCTAGACACTTTGTTAGTTTATAAACAAAGTAATATGTTTGCTGCAACTTGGTTTACTCAAATATTCTACTTGGTATAGTCAGATTAATCACACATTCGCTAACTTAATCTAGTTTTCAGAGTTTTAAACATTTATCAATTACACTAATAGAGCTAAACTAATTATAAGAAATGTGGTATCTTTCAATTCTGTCAGTCTTTGAGAAGGAGGCAGAAGCTTGAGAACATAGAAACCATTCATGTTTGAATAAAACAAAGAGCATTTTATGTTTTCCAGACTGAGGGCTCTATACATGGTATAGCAGATCCAGAGAGCCCTTGTGTTCAGAAAAGGAGCTAGAGGAAATAAGCAGGGGTGGAGGTGAGAGGAGCCTTCTAAACTTGTGGCTTACTGCCATATGGGAGTTTTTCTAGGAGTAAGAGCTAAAGTTCATAAACCTGGCCTTCCCACTTCCTATCTGTGAGAGCTTTATCTGTTACTTAACCCAAGCCTCAGTTTCCCTACACATAAAAAGGCAATGATAGTGGTGCTTATCTCATAGGATTGTTGTAAGGATTGAATGAGATGCTATATGTAGAGCATTGGCACACAGAACATACTCGATGAGCACTAGCTATTGTTTTACCACCACCCTCATGGACTTCTGACACAATCGAAGTTTGTCCTTAAGAGACAGGTGTTTCTATCCTAGTTTATTTCTTGATGTGTACTACAGTAATACGATTTATCTGTTGCAATATGTAGCACTATTTAGCTCATGTGTGGCTAGAAAATAGAGAAATGATGGCAGTACAACATGGAATTTTGTGTTGGTTCACATGTATGCATTTTTTTCAAGGCAAGTAGAGCTGAAATAGCATAGAATGACAACTTCAGTGGGAAAGGCTCAGCATGGCTTTCAGCTCTATTTTTATTTCATTTAAAAAAAATTTTTGAATGAATGAACACCTATTCTTTGGGCTTCCTCTCCATAGAAGCACATCCTGGCCTTTCACGTCCTAGGTTGCACTTCCCCTATGCCCACCTTCACAGCAACCCCACTGGCTCACAGCACCCACAAGCCAGCAAGTTTATTTTATTAAATTTGTGCACTTTTAATATTCCCAGAAGCAGCTTCTGGTCCTACTGAGCTGCCTGCCTTAGCTATCCAAGTTATCTCCCCAGGTACCAATTATCGCTTCTATTAGTAGACCAATTATAAAGTCGCATAGGTATTGAGTGGTCTGCCTTTAACCCTATTTTTTCCCTACAAGCCCTGTTACCTTTATGGTGTGATTTTGCAGAATGTGAGGTTTTTCGGGAACACATATAACATGTTTTAATAAATGCCTAATTTCTTTCAAGTGCTCCCTAAGACATGCAGCAGCAAAGACATGTGAAGGAACTGAACACGGCCATCCTCAGGTAGGGTGGATGTGTTGGGCAGAATTCCAGGCTGCAAAGCTGGTCCCTCACCTGGGAGGCTGTGAGTTCTGCAGCCTCTGAAAGCTCCTCCCAGTCCAGAGTGCTAAAGTGTGACCCTGACCTCCCACAGCTCTCTCCCAGTGCAGCAGAAATAACAACTCTTCCTTGTGTTTCTGCCTTGGACAGAGAGTGTGTAGCAGCATAGATTAGCTAAATTTACTTCTGAATAAAGTCTTTCTCTTCACTTTCTTTGAAATTTTTCCATGGAAATGCACTTGGATTTTCCCTGTTTCCACAGGTTTGAATACTTCCTACCTCCCTAGAATTCCTGTGAGAATTTGTTCCTCTCTTTATCAAAGCCCTGATCACACTCTGCACTGTATTGTGTTACATACAATAGGGCAGTGTGTGTGTGTATATTTTGTCTCAATTTAACTATAAGCTCCTTAAGGGCAGGGACTTTGTTTTCTTCATCTCTATATTTCCTTCATATTGCCTAGCACCATGCCTTTCACATACTTAAGTACTTAATAAATATTTACTAACTGAACAAGTCTTCCAAAAACACCGATTTTTGTGGGGGCCCTTTTGTAAGGAGTCTGTAACACACGTGCACCGTGAATTCCAACACATTGCTTAGAGGACATAGTTTCGCGTTAAAAATTTCCTGTAGCAAAAAAAAAAAAAAAAAATACTTTTTAGCAGGTGGTGGGCAGGCAGGAGTGGGGAGGAGGAAAGGGATGTATGTTTCCATAACGTGTGCGATGCACACCACCAGGGGATTGGACATTTCGGGGGGAGGGAGGGGGAAGGAGCAATATTTGTAACCCTAACAATATTTGTACCTCCATAATATGATGAAATAATAATAAAAAAAATTTCCTGTAGCATAGTCATTGGAAATTACTCTGGGAATAAAGACCAGAGAGCCATGTAAGAAGAACACCTTATGTGAAATATTTTATTCATCTTTTTAAAAAATTAATAAGCAACAGACAGGAATTATTTAATTTGGCTGCTCTTATAGTTCCTGCTTTTCTTTCCAAGGCTCTGAGGGCTGAGCTGTTTCCCAAGGGAATACTAGTTCAGAACGAACCTCAAGGTGATTCCTGCTTGGATAGGGAACTTGGTGACAGATGGCAGGTTCTGCTTTCACAGCAAGGACAACATGTGGGCCTGGGGGCGAGGAGGGGCTCAGCTGCTTTGACTGAAACACACAACCTCCCCTGTCCCACTCCTTTTGGGAGTGTCCAGGTATCTGTTCGGTGTCTTTGCTGTCCAACACCCCCCCCCCCACTCCTTAAAAGTTATAGCTTTTGGCAATGAACTCACACCAAATAGCTTACAGGTAAAATTTATTTATAGTAAAAAGTAATGCATGAATAGTCCTTTATGAATTATCCCACATTAACTGTCTAATTTGATCCTAAAATGACCCTTTTGTATTAGTTTTCTAGAGCTATTGTAACAAAGTACCACAAACTGGGTGGCTTAAACAATGGAAATTTATTTCTGACAGTTCTGGAGGCTGGAAGTTGAAGATCTACATGTCTGCAGGGTTAGATCCTCCTGAGAGTTGTGAAAGAGAATCTGTTCCATCCTTCTCTCCTAACTTCTGGTGGTTTGCTGACAATCTTTGGTGTTCTCCGTGTGTGTGTGTGTGTGTGTGTGTGTGTGTGTGTGTGTGTGTGTGTCCAAATTTCCCCTTTTTATAAGACACCAGTCATATTGAATTAGGAGCCCACCCCCACCCTACTCCAGCGTGACTTCTTCTTAACTAATTACATCTGCAATGACCCTAAGTCACATTCTAGACACTGGGGGTTATGGCTTCAACATATGACTTTTGGGGGGCACACATGCAACCCATAATACCTTTTAGCAAGCAAAGCAGGAATTATTCTTATTCCTGTTTTACAGATACAGGAACTGAGTCTCAGAGATATGAAATAATTTACCCAAAGTAAGCGAAAACTCAGGGTCACAAATGCAAGTTGGCTGTCTGGCTGAGTAGTCGGAGAGAGCCAGATGGTGTCTCTCACCATGCGTTTGTCTAGCTGTTCTCACACACTTGGACCAGTAAGAACTGACGCTGCACAGAGAGGGGAAGTGGTCAGATGTGGTTTTCTCTTGGAATCAATTCAGCAGATGCCCTGTTGTTATTATAAAAGCTTCCCTTGCTGCCTCCATGGCTGCACCTCATGAGGGCTTGACCTCTAGAAGAACTGTTTACTTAAGTTGTTTCTTGTCAGTCTCTTGTTTCTGTCTGGAAGGCCCAACCCGGCCAGAGGGGGCTGGGTACAATGAGGCTATTCAGGGCAGAAAGCAAAATGCCTCATGCTTCCTTTTTCTCTCTGTAGCATCGTTCTTTGCCTCCTTGTGTCTTTCCTTTGTCCTGCCTATTGAGTAACATTAGTGTGGGTGTGGGGAACATGTGAACTGGCAGCAGCGTGAGAGGGTGGCCTGATGATGTGGGCGCCAGGGCAGGCAGCAATGGGCAGGCTTCCCAAGAACCCCTTTGACCTGTGCCTCTGCTCTGCCTGAGTCACTCTCAGCAGCTAAAGCTCATGGAGCATGAAAGGTTTCCCTAGGCAGAGAGGAGGGACACGCCCCACCTTTGAGCCCCTACCCTTGGGAAGCAGTATAAAAGGTGGTTGAGTGGAGATTCTAATCTCAGCTCTGCCACTTGCCAACTGTGTGACTTTAGGGAAGATGCTTAATCTCCCCGTGTCACTTCCTTATCTATAAAATGGAGATAATAAATTTGTTCTTTTCCTAAGGTATTGAATGAATAAATGATATAATACAAATGCTGCTTGGAATAACATGTCTGCCACATAATTCTAGTACTTAGTAGATACAAGCAACACTTCCTCATTTGTTTATTTCCCACATATCATCGGTTAATCTATTATTAATAATTAAAAACTGGCAGGGTACATAGCCAAAAGTTAACAGTGGTTGTGTTTGGATGATGGAATTACAGGTGATTTTATTGTCCTATTTTTGCTCCTTTAGATTTTCTAAACTTTCTGCAGTAAATATGTATTATTTTTCATAAGAGAAAAACTCCCATGAGGACTAATGGGCGCAGTGGATTAGGTGTGAGTGGGTACAAAGTGAAAAAGACATGACCATTGTCCTTAGTGGAGTTTAAAATCTGTAGAAAGAGACAAGATAAGTAGACAAATGATAGAAAAGCATGGACAGCAATGCTCAGAGTAGGCTGAGTATGGGACCAGTCACCCTCAGGTAGCACCTGGCATTATAGAGATGTTTTCATCAGTCTTGTCCCAACAGTCTTCCCTGACCTGGAAATAGGAAAGTAAGAGGACACAGGCAGATAAAAGGGCCACTCCTTTAATCTACCCTAGAAACCCAGTGGGATGGGGATGGGATTACTGAGACACCTCTCTAAGGTACCTATTTCTAGGAGGGAGCTTATATGGAAGAAAAAGTTGTGATGCCTTATGTAGCACACCTTATCCAAGATAGATGTGTACCCAGGTCAAATGGAATGAAGACGTAATTTCCTGTTTCTCTCTCTCTCTTTCCATAGCATCATTAGCATCATCATTATTTTGGCTGGAGCAATTGTACTCATCATTGGCTTTGGTATTTCAGGTATGTGATTTCTTGCATTATTATGATCCATTCACCCCTCACCATTAAACCCCAAATCACTTTGGTGTGGTAGCATGGAAAGAGCATGGGGCTTGCACTCAGAAAACTTCAGACTAGAGCACTCATGCTTCTACTTACCGTGTGCTCTTCACATTAGTCCTTTAACTCCTTGAATTAGTCAGTTTCCTCATTCTTAGAGTGGAGAAATAATGTCCACCTCAGAAGCTAGTTGAGAGAATCAAAGGAGATGTTTATCAGTAGTCCATCTACCAGTCCCTGCTGAAGATGTCATTCTGGGATCACAGGTAAAGTGCCGCGTCTGAGCCATTCTGTCCATGGTTGACCTAAGGAGATGATTTCTTTGCAATGTAAGCTTCAGTTAAAGTGTTAAAGAATATCAAGTCTTTGTACACAGGGGTCTTAGATAAAGAGAAAACTAGTGGTGACTACTGTACTATGTAGGAAACAGATGCCATTGGGGTGTGGATGGTTAGTTTCCAAATGCAGCTAACTGATGTCAGTTTCAGGAAGAGCTTTCTCTTTCCTCTTCCATGTAGACCATTTCTTTGAGACAAATTGCTTTAGTTCCCATAAACCACCCGACTCAGGCCAATATCTATAACTTAGTCTGTGACCAAAGCTGTCACTTCGTAAGTTCAGTTTCCATAGTTCCAGCTGCCTCTCCATCACTCCCCTCCAGTGTGGGTGTGCCCACAGAGTCACAACGCCTAAGCTAAGAAAACTCGCTATAGGTGCGTTTGCCTAGAAATGACATTCACACCCTTCTCCACTTTCTTTATATCATCAAACATATATATTTTGTCTTTTGTCCACTTTTCTACTGGGTTATTTATCTTTTTCTTTTTGATTTCTAGGTGATTCTTTACATATTCTGGATGTAAATTGGTTATATATATTGTTGAATCTGTCCTACTCTATGACTTGCTTTTTCACTCTCTTAATGATGTCTTTCAATGAACAGAAGTTTTTTTAATTTAGTCCAATTCATCAATCTTTCCCTTTATATTTAGAGCTTTTTGTAACTTGTTTAAGAAATCTCTGTCTATCCTAGAGTTGTAAAAATTTTCTTCTAGGTTATCTTGTAGAATTTATTGTTTCATCTTTCACATTTATATCTGCAAGCTGACTAGAATTAATTTTATGCATGGTGTAAGAGGGGGTCAAAATTCCCTTTTTCCATGTGGCTATCCAGTAAACCCAGCACCATTTATTAAAAGCACTGTCCCTCCCACACTTCTCTCTCGAGGGACATCATTGTCACAAATCCACTATCCATATGTGTGCGGATCTGTTTCTGAATTCACTAGTCTGTTTCATTCTAATATTCTTTTATAATTCACTTCTTTTTATGTTATTTTATCTTTTTTCCTATTCCTAATCTTGGTCATATTCATTCTCTCTCTCTCTGTCTCTCTCATATATTAAAATAGGTTTACACAGTTACAGGTACTGCTAGCTTTATAGTAGTTTTCAAATAACCACCTTTCAGTTTATTTATACTTTCTCTGATTTGTTTTCCTCTTTCACTGATTTTGGCTTTTATCTTTATTAATGTTCCTCTTCCTGCTTTATTTGACCATCTTTTTTTTTTTTTTTTTTTTTTTGAGACAGAGTCTAGCTCTGTTGCCTGGGCTAGAGTGCTGTGGCGTCAGCCTAGCTCACAGCAATCTCAAACTCCTGGGCTCAAGCAATCCTGCTGCCTCAGCCTCCTGAGTAGCTGGGACTACAGGCATGTGCCACCAAGTCCGGCTAATTTTTTCTCTATATATTTTTAGTTGTCCAGATAATTTCTTTCTATTTTTATTAGAGACAAGGTTCTCTCTCTCTCTTGCTCAGGCTGGTCTTGAACTCCTGACCTTGAGCGATCTTCCTGCCTTGGCCTCCCAGAGTACTAGAATTTACAGGTGTGAGCCACCATACCTGGCCTATTTGACCATCTTCTAATTCTTTTTCTAATGTCTTAGAACAAACACTTCATAAAAGAATATGTCAAAAAATCCAGTTAGTAGCTTTTAGTAGATACTGCCATTTCAGCTTTCCAAAGTGATTTACCAATTCACTCTTCACCAGAAGTGCATGAGATCCGGTGCTCCATGTCCTCACCAACACCGGATATTGTAGAATCTTGTGGCTTTAATTTCTATTTCCTGGTGTCTGAGGAGACTAAGTACATTTTCTTTTTTCTTTTTTTCCTCTCCATGAGATCAATTATTTTAATATTTAGCTCCACATGTGAGTGAGAACATGCGAGATTCTGTGCTTGGCTTATTTCACTTAGGTTCTCCAGTTCCATCCATGTTGTTGCAAATGAGGGGATTTCATTCTTTTTTATAGCTGAATAATATATCCCATGGTATGAATGTACATTTTCTGTATCCATTGATCCATTGATGGACACTTAGGTTGAATCCAAATCTTAGCTATGGTGAATAGTGCCACAATAAACATGGGAGTGCAGATATCTTTTCAATACGCTTCTTTTAGATATATACCCAGCATTAGGATTACTGGAACATATGGTAGTTCTATTTTTTTGAGGAACCTCCATACTGTTTTCCATAGTAGTTGTACTAATTTACATTCCCACCAACATGTATGAAGATTCCTCTTTTTCCACATCCTTATTAGCATTTGTTATTGCCTGTCTTTTGGATAAAAGCCATTTTTACTGGGGTGAGATGATACTTCATTGTAGTTTTGATCTGAGCACATTTTCATAGGCAAAACATAATGTTGAGTGACAGAAGAGCACAAAAGAGTACATTCTGTATGATTCCATGTATATAAAGTTCAAAAGCAGGCAAATGTATCTCTGCTGTTAAAAGGTATTAGTTCACCATTTTTTTGGTGAATTAAAGAGGTATTAGTTCACCATTTTTTAATCCAGCAGGTGGAAGGGGAAGGGGGATGGGTAAATTCACACCTAAGAGGTACAATGCACACTATCTGGGTGATGGACACACTTATAACTTTGACTCAAATGGTACAGAAGAAATTTATGTAACCAAAACATTTGTACCCCCGTAATATTCTGAAATTATACACACACACACACACACACACACACACACATACACACACATATGTAAAGGTAGAACAGTTGTTCTTACCTTTGGGGAAAAGTAAGGGGGCAGTGATGAGGAGGGGCATTAGGGCACTTCTGGGAAGGCAGTAAAGTTCTATTTCTCAGTGTGGTGATTGTTACGTGGGATAAAGTTATGATAACTCTTCAAGCTGTACAGTTATGATGTGTGGATTTTCATATATATATGTTATACTTCAGTATAGACTTACACATAAATAAACATTTGCAAACATATATGTGTATATACATTTTTGTGTACATATATTCATATATATTCTTTATAAGGAAATAAAATATTGACTAAGTAAACATTTTAGAATAACTTTTAAAGATATTAATGCTAAGGTACATTTTGGTACTTTCCTCACTAAAGCTTAACTCTTCCTTACTTATAATTTATCCTATTCCTGATCTTGAAAACCCTAGTATTTGTCCTTCACTCTAAATTTCGGTGGCAAATCTCTTGGGCCTTGGGCTAACTGCCTTGGCATCAGAACTCTTAAACTGTTGTTTATCTTTGGTTGTTAGTGGCCTTTGACTACCTAGCAAGAATTTTCACATTGTCACAGCTTCCCCATGTCAGTCAACACTTTTGCTAGTTACAGCTTTTCCTGCTGCATAGATATAGTGACTTTTAAGTTCTGAGCTCAGTTCCTTGAATTTGCAGAGGGTGCACCTATAGTGATTTTTGAATGAACAATTGGAGGGATGCATAAAAGAGTGAATAAATGGATAGAAGTTTACTCAATCAGTAATGTACCACCAATATTAAAACCCTACTGCTTCCTGTGAAAAGATTTTCTGCCTCCTTCCTACTTCATACAATAAAAACTGGTTATTTTGGATAAAATGGGCAGTTTATTAGTTTAATACTATTCAGTTGGATTTTTTTTCAACTGCCTTTATTAAAAGGACAATAACCTTTACCAGAGAGTATCATATTATTGTACTTTAAATGAATTTAATAAAATGTTAGCTGGTTTAATGCACAGGACATTGATATTAAGTAAATAGCATTAAGTAGATGATGATAATGATAATATCTTTTGAATTATTTCTTCGTGCACCTTACTGTACTCAAGAACTTTGCATATATCACCTGATTTACTACTCACAACAAATAGGAGGTAGATAATATTACTATGTTTAGATGAGAAACTTGTGTAAGTTCATACACAGCTTGCAAGTGGAGATGGCTGTGTTTTAAGCCTGGTAATTGGCTTCCAGAATCCACACTCCTACCCACCACCCTATACCAATGATAACATTCGGGGAGAGTTGTGGCAGAAAAGAGTGTTTTCTGGTTTGCTTTGAAGGCATGATTCCTGAGGCCAAACTTTTTAAAAACTTAAAAATATTCCCAAATACAGAAAAAAATTATATTTCTTTGTAACTTTCATGATGTTGTATATGCCACCTTCTCATAGTCATCCTACTCCTTACAAATTCTAAATATGGGCTCCCCCAAAACACAAAGTACATCTGAAGTGGATTGTTTGGAAGAGAGGTTGAGGGGATCCCATAAACCCCTGGTTAAAAGAAAGCCTTTGTGAATGACCCTTTGAGAAGGAAGGAGAGGGAGTCAAAAGGTGCCTGACCATACTTAGCCCAGTCCCTGTGCTATCACTCACAGAGTGACTTTGAACAGCTCTGTGTAGTGGAAGAGTTTAAGAATCAGAGACGTTCCAATCTCAGGTCTGACACTAACTATATGTCCTTTGGGATGCAACTTAAATTTCCAAAATCAGTTTCCTCACTGGTAAATTAGGCAAGGTCATAGTGAAAATTAAATGAGAAAAATGTATCTGACACTTGAGTATGATAAATGGCTGTCATTGTTATTTATATTGATAACATCAATGCTATTAATAAAAATTTGCTATTATGAAGGCATTCATATAGCACCTCCTAGGAACTGCATCATTTCCTGGTCATAGCAGGACAGGCCCCCTTTGAAGTTAAGGAGGTCAGGGCAGGAAGCCAATTACTAGGAGCACACTGCCTCCTAATAATGCTCCATCTTCAGACACTGGGTAAGCCAACCAGGTGTGCTCATGGCATCAAAATAGGAGCAATGCACAAATTGTTTGGAAAGTATTTGCTATTTCAAAAAGAGTTGTCGTCATCTGAAAAAATAATTGAAAATTTGTTGGCCTTTCTTACACTTATTTTATTTTTAAGGGAAGCAAGGATATCGTTTTAGCAGGTTGGCTCTCTACATGTCTCAATCTGGCCCTGAGTATGAACAAACAAATGAACAGCAAAATGTAGTAGAAAGAGCACAGCCCAGTGCCAGACAAGCTGGATTTAATCCTGGCTCCACTGCTAATGCCCTAATACAGGGCATTGGGTAAACCATTTAACCTCATGGAGCCTCTTTATCCTCATTCATAAAATGGATGCGATGGTCATTCTTACCTCTTTGGCTCAAAATGAGTCACTATAAATAAGCATTTAGTAAAATATTCTTTCTCTACCTCCTGGGACTCTGATCTGCAATCTACTCAAGTGGCTCTAGTTAAATCATATCGATATCAATTTAAGATTTAGCACATGGCTAAATAGTCAGATACTATATTAGGCACATCACCTGCATTGTGTCATTTAGTCCTTTTAGGGACCCTCAGAGGGAGCATTCTCGTGTGACAGATAACATTCCATGTTACTTTTTATGGAGTAAAAAGTTTAGAAAACTTGCCCAAGTTCACATACCTAATAAGTGGCAGAGCTAGGACTTGAACCCAGACAGCCTGATGCTTGTGCCATGTTCTCAAACGCCATGCTCTACTGCTTGCCTTTTCTGCCCTGGCCTAGTATCCTGTCTAATTTCTTCTCACAGGAGCTACCCCACACTTTTCTTTGGCAAGTGTGGCACTCACAGGTGTGACCCCAGGCTCCACTGGTGCAGGCTTAAATCTTGCATTTCCACCTTTAAGCCATATGCTGTGGTGCCTATCTGGGCAGCTGATTTTAGCAGATGCTGACTAACCATCTGCTGGAGACTTCTAGTATGTTCTCTATTCTATTAGAATGTACAGAACTTGTCTTACTGACTCATGTCAAAGGAAAATTTATTTTCCAGGTTAAATCCAGTGTTGTAGGGTGCCCCAGTAATCCTAATTTCTGTAAAGAATCCTTGCCTTAGGCCGGGCGCTGTGGCTCACGCCTGTAATCCTAGCTCTTGGGAGGCCGAGGCGGGCGGATTGCTCAAGGTCAGGAGTTCAAAACCAGCCTGAGCAAGAGCGAGACCCCGTCTCTACTATAAATAGAAAGAAATTAATTGGCCAACTGATATATATATAAAAAAAAAATTAGCCGGGCATGGTGGTGCATGCCTGTAGTCCCAGCTACCCGGGAGGCTGAGGCAGAAGGATCACTGGAGCCCAGGAGTTTGAGGTTGCTGTGAGCTAGGCTGACGCCACGGCACTCACTCTAGCCTGGGCAACAAAGCGAGACTCTGTCTCAAAAAAAAAAAAAAGAATCCTTGCCTTGTGTTACCCCCATTCTCTAAGATATTCCCACTCCTGCAACCGAGGGCCAATTGAATAGTACTCACCCTATGTGAACACAGAGCTGCTCAGATTTCAGTTGCTCCCCTTTGATGACCCCCCTTTCTTCATGCAGACTGGGGCTGTGGTAGTAATTAGCCCTCACAAGTTGGATAATTCATTTTCAGTAAGTGGCTGGGGCTTCCAATTTTAAAGGGTTTTGATGAAATCTTAGAGGCCAGTGAAATACTTAAAATCTGTGCCTATTGAACAGAATTCTATATCGATAGAAAGCAGCCTCTGACCCATTCCATGGGGCCCTTTTGTCCTTTAGCTCACCAAGTTAACACAAGAATCTCTGGTGGTCATTAGGCCTGGAGAGTAGGATCAGGTCAGACTGCATAATGCTACTTGAGCCAATGTTTGTTTTCAAGTTTGAACACAGTCTCCTTTTTGTGAGAACTAATATTTACATGCTGTTGCTTGCAAATGAAATTTTATTTTATCACTTTTAGCTATCATTTACTCGTTTAACAAACAAATATTTATTGATTGCTTTCTAGGTGCAGAGCAACGGGTAGGTAGTTATGGTTTTTTAAGTTCTCACTGGCTTTTATTCCTCCTCTTTATTTGATATGGGGGGGATTTAATTGACATTACACTCATTCCTTCAGCCACATCATTAATGCAACCTGAAATGACGAGAACCTGCAGCAGGTCCCTGGGGCGCTCCACAGCTGCCTACTTTTAATCATTAAGTTCTCTAGGAAATATTTCAACTGACTCCCTACCTGTGGGCTCAAGGCCAAAACATTAAAATTAATTCAGTAATATAATTACTGAACTAAGATGTGTCATTACCATTTCAGTCTTTCCATAAACTGTGCTAATAGTGTATTTTTTTTCTGAAAAGTAATTTTTCAATTCAACTTTAATGGCACTTTATCAACAACCATCAAATTTACCCTCGCTCTAACATAGTTACAGTTCATCCATGATTTTATTGAGAATCTCAGTGTATTTTTATTGCCTTTTTTTCCCCACTGGCTCACATTTCCCCCAAATTTAGACGTGGTAATCCTGCCACCTTACTCCTGCAATCATTTTAGATCATCTCAAACTATGCTTTGATTTCTACTGATTTCCATTTATTCATTTGGTTATTCATACACTCAGTAAATATTATTTTTCTTTGTAGAAACAAAGCACTAGGCACTATAGGAACTTGTGGATATGATTAAGACAGTTTCTGCCCTTGAAAAGCTTACAAATTAGTGCCAGAGATAGGCAAGAAACCAGGTAGAGGGAGTCAAGCTGCTGTTAAGAAAGGTAAAAGAAAATGTTAAGGGACAGAAAAGAGAGAATCTATAAATTTTGCCTTGGTGGATTAAAATAAGTTTCCATGGGAGGGCTGCCATCTGAACAGACTTGAATGTAAGTAGAATCTAGATAACTGGTGACAAAGGAGAGGTGGGAACTATAAATTGTAGGTGCAAGATGAGCAAGGATGTGAAGGTGTGTAGTGTAATTGTGCTAGCCTGGGCTGCCTTGGATATTAGTCTGTGAAGTAAAACTAATTAGAAAAATCCTGAATCATTAAAAAGCAGTGTTCAAGAAAATTCCAAGGCAGGGTATGGAGTTGTGTTGCATTCATATTACACAGAAAAATCTTCATATTATTCTCTTTCATAATTTTTCTCCCAAATCTCTCACATGAGTGGCCATGCATGGCAGCTGCTCCCAAAATCTCTCTTCTCCAATGCTCTCAAGCCTCCAAAACAGCCTCCCAACCCAGGCTATGTACTTGTTTTTGTTTCCTCTGCCTCTTTTTCTAGCTATATTTTTTCTTCTGTCAGTAGCTCCCTGTTATTTCTACTGTAAATTCATCTAGCTTAGCTTCTCCAGTTCTGTCTCTGATTCATTATCCTCATATGCTTTATAAAGGCCTGGGAGTCAATTAAATAATTCCAATCCCTAATGGGCTGAAAGAAGAGATGAGCCAATGATATATCTGTGTTTGCAATGTTTCCCTCTTACATTTGAGGGGGAAAAAAGCACATGTATGCTTTGTTTATGTATTTTTTATTGAAGGCAGAAAAATAACAAATCATTTGATACAGAGAGACAGAATGGACTATGAAAGGATGAGGTGAGGAGGCTGCAAAGACACCAATAAGAGCTAACATCTATGGAGTATTTACTATGTGCCAGGCAGGGTTTGGCTTTGAAGACTATGCTGGAAAATCTGAAATTCATTCCACAGCCCTTAGGAGCCATGGATGATTAGTGATTAGAAAACAGACATGTTCAGATTGTACTTTAAGAAGTCTACCTGTAAGATTAATGCATGTAAAATGAATTGGATGGAGGCAAAAATGAAAGGCAGGAATACCAACAAGGAAGATGAAAAGTCCGGTCAAGAAGGGCTCAGGACTCATCATGTTGCGCTTTTTTGGCTGTAAGGAAGAGAGGCTTGTGCAGGCCATTTTAATATAAGGTGTTTGTTTATAGAATATGAAGAGATTAAAACAGTAACTAGACCTGAATACCTGCAGGATCTAAGACAGCTCTGAAATAGAGAGGTCTCTCTCTATCCCTCTCTCTCGTGGTCTCTCCCTTACACTTCGTGTCTGCTCCACTCTCCTCTTGGGCTCCAAGGCCATCCTCTCCTTAGTTTCACATCCAAACCACAGAAAGAGCCTCTGAAGAAGATTCAGTTAATTAAATCACCCCCACAGGTGTCCTCAGTCAGCAGCCTCCAGTGCACAAAGAACAGCTGGTTGATCCTTCCCTGACTGGGTGGGCTGTGGGCTGGGCAAGTGGGGAGGAGGCAGCTGGACACACCTGGCACCATAATTAGTATTTCTACTGGCAGTATGTTCAGAGAAGCAGGGACAGCTTTTATCTTAGACCAAAAGTAACTGAATTAAGTACCATTCTTCATCATGCCATAGATAGCGCTGTAACCTTGACCAAGTCACTTATCTCCTATGTCTTAGTTTCTTCAACATTCAAATGGAGATAAAAGTAACAGCACTTTAGAATTTAGTGTTTTTCAGAATGACTAGCCACATATAATTAACATGAGGTTTCATTTCTCTGGCTCTTTCAGTTAAGTAAGAATAACAACACCTTATTTGTGTAATTATAGCTTGCAAATCAAGTTCACATCCATTTGATTTGATCCTCACGAAAACCCCTTAAGGTAGGTAAGACAGATATTTGTTATGCCCATTTTTCTGAGATCCAGAGAGGTTACATGACTTCCTGAATGTCACACAGCTATTAAGTGACGAAGCCAAGACTTGAAATCTCATCTTTAAACCCAAATCTGATGTGTTTTCCTCTTTCTGCCCCTGAAGGTTTGGGTTACTTGGTCTTACAGAAGCTGTGCATATGGCAGATCTGGTGTAGATATCAAAATGATTGTCTTCCTGCTCTTTCTATTCTTGTCTTCTTTTTTTTTATATGCCTCTCCAGTTCTTCTATATTTCTACTTTATCATAGGAGTCTCTGTTTGGCTTTTAGTAGTGAAGGGTTTGGTTGCGAAAGTTCCATCACTTCCCTGGACGTTGATCCTTGCTTCCTGGATTGCAGGGACACACTCCATCACGGTCACCACGCTCACCTCAGCTGGGAACATTGGGGAGGACGGAATTCTGAGCTGCACTTTTGAACCCGACATCAAACTTTCTGATATCGTGATACAATGGCTGAAGGAAGGTGTTATGGGCTTGGTCCATGAGTTTAAAGAAGGCAAAGATGACCTGTCGGACCAGGATGAAATGTTCAAAGGCCGGACAGCAGTGTTTGCTGATCAAGTGATAGTTGGCAATGCCTCTCTGAGGCTGAAAAACGTGAAACTCGCAGATGCCGGCACCTATGAATGTCACATTATCACTTCTAAAGGCAAGGGGAATGCTAACCTTGAGTATAAAACTGGAGGTGAGTTTTGGGGAGAGGGAAAGAAAGCAACAAAAGATATTTGAAGTTAAAGGTTATGAGTTTGATAAGTTATGAGTTATGATAAAGGTTATGATGAAATAATCATGTTGTGCTCATGAATGATCTATATCAGACAAAGACTCAGTTCTGCTAGCAGCAATCCTTGGTATTTTTTGCCCAAGATCCACACCAACCCCCATAGTAGCTGACTATAATACAGGTCTTAAAATCTTTTGTTCTTGGCTCTTGCCACTTCTGAATTTCCAGGTATATTCCCTAAAATAAGTGCAGTTTCTTTTATGGGATAGCCCCTAATACTGCTACTGAAAGAAGCCTAGAATCTGGCCTAGTATGTTTCCATGCGAAGAAGGTACAGGCCCAAGTCTGAAATCAATTTCTCTAGAGACTTATGGCAGTGGGCCCATTTTAGGAGAAGTTCAAAGGGAACTAACCACAAAAATTTTGTCCTAAAAACATATTAATTCTCCCCCTTCAATGAAATACATCCTTCCTTGCCAACCCAATTTGGCATGTATTTTCTGAATTTGCAAGGACTCAGGTAGATACTGTGAGGAATATAAAGATGAGTGCCCCTGCTCTTGGAAAGCTCACAGTGTAGATCTTACAGAGTTGATGGTCAGTATGGGGATAAAGTATGTAAATGATTATAATGGTTGATAAATCACATCAAATCCTTTAAGAGAAAGATAAGTACAGTGACTCAGAGATTCAGAGGAAGAGAGAGATCACATACAAATGCACAGGAGGGAAGGGATAGAAAAGCTCCCATGGAGAAAAGGGCATTTGTGAGAGCCTTGAAGAATAGACAGGAAGTATACTGAGCCCTCCTGGCCTTACCCAGTCTGCACAGGCCTTTCTTAAACACCTCATAACATGTATATGTAATTATTCAAAGCAGAGGTCTAGAATCAAACCTGTGTAAGTACAGTGGCCCAAGCAAGGCAATATCTCTGAGCCTCAGTTTCTTCATCTTAAAATGGGGATTAATGAGGTCAGGTCAAAGGGACATTGGAGCCAACTGAAGGAGCTTCCAATGGCAAAGCTAGAATCATTTAAGCAACAAAATAGATAATATAGTATTGAATTAAAACTCCAAGTATAAAAAAATACACATGACTCCATACTTATATGAATATTAAAGGAGATGAAACAAATCTTCTTTACAGATAATTTCAAATAATTCATTTAGATCTCTCCCCCTCCAGGAAGTGCAGCTTAATACATACCCCCACCCCACTCAGTGTGTTAAAACCAATGAAGTCCAGCTACCAAAGAAACCTGGCAAACACTGCTTCAGCCAGTTAACATCATTAATGATAAGTCATGTTGATAGCATGTGCCTTTTGACATGATGTGATAAGAAGGGTACTTTACCTACTGTTGTCTTCCTTTCCCAAACCTTTAATCTTAGTTTAATCATGAGAAGAAAATCACACAAATTCCAACAGAGGGGCATCCCTCAAAATACCTGACAAGTACTCCTCAGTACTGTCAAGGTCATAAAAAACATGGAAAGATTAAGAAAATCACCAACTAGAAGAGCCTAAGGACATATGATGACTAAAAGCATTGTGGTATTCTGGATGGGATCCTGGAACAGAAAAAGAACATTAGTTGAAAAACTGGATAAATCCTAATAAAGTCTGGAGTTTAGTTAACAGTAATGTGCCAATTATGTTTTCTCAGTTTTGACCAATGCACCATGATTAAATGTTAATGTTAGGGGAAACCAGGTCAGAAGTATACACCAGCTCTCTGTATTATGTTTGCAACTTTTCCGTACATGTACTATTATTCCAAAAATAAAAGTTTAGTTTTTTAAATGGGGATGATAACATTCATAGGATTATTGTGAGGATCAAATGAAATAAATATCTGGACTATGATACTGGCACAGAGTGCATCCTTGGTAAATGGTGGCTCATTGTCATGTAAACTTAGCTTCCCATATCATCTCCTAGGAGCTTATTCCCTGCCTACTCCAAGCATATGGGTCTTGTCTCACCTGCTAGAAGACAGACTCATTAAGAGCAAGGCAAAGGCTTTCCTTTCACCACTCACTCAGCACCAGCCCAGGCCTGGGCAAAAGAAGATGCCAAATAAATCAATAAATTGTATCTTGCCATTATGGCCTAGTAAAAAGTCCAGGTCTTAACATTTTCCCACAAGTGTCTTTCTGCCCAGTTATGGGGTGAAGCTAGTCTTAATTTCAAAATGCATTTACCTCCCCCATGAGGAGAATTATCTCAGAAGAAAACAAATGCCTATTTATATCGCTGGATACCAGGGCTGGACAGTCTCCACCTAAGTAAACTCCAAGTCCCCATGATGACCAAGCTTGTGTGTGGAATTTCTGTGGGTGACAGGTGAATGCTGTTTGTTTCCCTCCCCCTCCTCTCCCTAACTTTATCATCCAGGCAGAAAAATACATAAAATCCTAAAGGTTTCACAAGTCCCTGGAAAATGCCCAGTTTCCCTAAGGGATAACCTTGTTTATGATCACTGGAGCCCCTCTTACTTGGAGAAAATTATCTGTTGTAACAATAATATACCTAGAACTTAGGCCATTTGGGTTTATGATATTGGCTAAAGGGTTATGATAACAGTACTATGAATGAATAATTATTTTCATTTACAATACAATGGCCATACACAGACAGATTTCTGGGAAAGTACTGAGTTACTTCAATGGTAGAAATGACTGTGTTTTGAAGACCTAGCACTCCAAAGGCATTGTCTTATCTGCCTGACCTTGACATCTCATCTGCCCCTTTTGATGTTTGACCTTGCAGCCTTCAGCATGCCAGAGGTGAACGTGGACTATAATGCCAGTTCAGAGAGCTTGCGCTGTGAGGCTCCCCGGTGGTTCCCGCAGCCCACAGTGATCTGGGCATCCCAAATTGACCAGGGAGCCAACTTCTCGGAATTCTCCAACACCAGCTTTGAGCTGAACTCTGAGAATGTGACCATGAAGGTTGTGTCCATGCTCTACAATGTCACAATCAACAATACATACTCCTGTATGATTGAAAATGACATTGCCAAAGCCACAGGGGATATCAAAGTGACAGGTGGGTTCCTCCACACTTTTTATATGGATTTATTGGGGAGAGAATGAGATCTAAATTGAAATCCAATTTCTATAATAGATATATTATGTACCATGGCAAAAACTCTCTAGAATCCTCTTCACTAAGACCCTGATCATAATTCCAGTTGGGATTGCATTACATAAGAGAAAGCCTAACACAAAACAATATATATGGCATATAGGTCAAAGATGGCAATTTAGCTTTGTTTTGTGTGCCTTCTCACTGACTGGTTGTCTGGAGAGCAGAGTTTAAGATTCTGAGGCTCTGTCTAATTCAGTAGGATTACTTTGGTGTAGCAGTAGGGAAGTGATGATTATTTGACATCTTTGACATATTCAGCTAGTGTATTATATCCTAAGCCCCTCAAAACTGTTTTGGTTCTAGCCTGCCTTTGAGAAGGCTTTGAATCTGAAGACTAAAGGTCTGGACTCTGACTTAGTCTTAGTCATCCCTCAAGAGACTAACTCATGATCCCATCAATATTGGTCCAGGATTAATCTGAAACCTCCAGATAGAACTGGCCTCCCAGCACCCTAGCTGAGAACTGCCTGCAAAGGCCCACCACTCTAGTCTCCCTGCAGAATTTTAGTGAATACAAAACCTAGGATTGAGCTAGTATCAAGAAAATTCATAGAATGATTTATGACTTCTAAGACCATCTCTCCTGGGGCTAAATTGTGTTCAAACTGCAGTGAAAGAATATGTCAGGAGACTGCTATCTATATCAAGTCTAGAACTAGGCAGAAAATATCTCACACATTGTAAGTGCCCTATAAATGTTTGCTGAATTTAACTGAATGAATCCTATTTTTTACCAGATTATATTTTTAAATTTAAAATTGTATATATAAACTCCCCAAATATGTACAACTATATCAATTTTAAAATATAACACAATTATATATGTGTGTGTGTATATATGTATATATATGTGTGTATATATATATGTATATATATCAGTAACCTATAGAATGTGAGAAAATATTTGCAAATCATATATCCAATAAAGGGTTAATATCCAGAATATATAAAGAATTCCTACAACTCAACAACAACAAAAAAACCGAAATAATCCAATTTGAAAATGGGCAAAGGACTTGAATAGAGATTTATCCAAAGATAATACATAAATGACCAAAAAGTACATGAAAAGATGATCAACATCACTAATCATCAGATATATGCAAATCAAAACCACAAGGGGATATCCCCTAACACCCATTAGGATGGCTACTATAAAAAAAAGAACAAGGGGAAAATAACAAGTGCTGGTGAGGATGTGGAGAAATTGGGACTCTCATGCACTGTTAGTGTGACTGTGAAATGGTACAAGTGCTATAGAAAACTTATGTATAGATGGTCCTTAAAAAATTAAAAATAGAACTACCATATTATCTAGCAATCCCACTTTGGGGGATATATCCAAAAGAATTCAAAGCAGAGTCTAAAGGAGATATTTGCACACCCATGTTCATAGCACCACTATTCACAATAGTCAAGAGGTAGAAGCAACCCAAAATGTCCATCAATGGATGACTGGATAAACAAAATGTGGTATAAACATACAATACAGTATTATTCAGCCTGAAAAAGGAAGGAAATCCTATCACATACTGCAACACGGATGAACTTTCAGAACATTATGCTAAGTGAAATAACTCATTCATAAAAAGACAAATACTGTATGATTCTACTTACATGTGGCATCTAAAGTAGTCAAATTCGCAGAAACAGAACATACAATGGTGGTTACCAGGATTGGGGTGGAGGAGGTGGAGAAAGGGGTTTGTTGCTTAATAGGAATAGAGTTTCAGATTTGAAACACGAAAAAGTTCTAGAGATCTGTTTTACAACAATATGAATATAGTTATCACTACTGAACCATATATTTAAAAATGGTTAAGATGATAAATTTTGTGTTTTTAAAGTATCTAATAAAAAAATTATACATATGAGAGAGCTCTTCCACCGTCTTGAGGCACAAATTGGCAACTATCCTGCTTAGGACTCTCTTAGTTGCCTGTAACAGAAAACTAACTAAATAACCCTAAAATAAAAGGGGGATTTATTAAAAAGGTAATGAGATGTTTCATGGAACCAAAGAACAAGTACAATTGACTTGAGGAGCAGCTGGAACCAGGAACTTAAATTCCAATTGGATTCTTTATCTCCTTTTAAATTTCTACTTTATTCTATCTTTGCTCTTTCTTGTTTTAGTCTATATGGCAAAATGTAGTTGCCAAGAGTTCTTATATTTAAAAATCTCTTTCTCTTAAGAGAGTGTCCAGATGGAACCTGATCCATCAGTCTCATTCTACATTCCCATGAAGTTGACTGGCTCAACTTGGGTCAGCTGCCCAACAGGGCAGTATCTGATGGAAGGCCTTCCCAGAAGAAAAGTAGAGAATGAAGCATTGGTCATTTAAAACACTAGGTATTGACAACAGTATCTCAGTTCAGATGTCAACAAAAAGCTCCAAACTGTATAACTAATGTCTTCTAGTAGCAGAGGCAATAATTGAACAAAATACAGACATTGAGCACACCTTTTATTCAGGGAGCAGATCTTTTTTCCTTACATGTTTATTGGATACATCAAAACAAGTGTTCCAAGTGTCAGTATTAGGACTAAATACACCTTTTAATAGCTCAAAGTTTAAAAAATAACAGAATTTCTTCTTGCCATGCACAAAGTTGGTATTCCATGCATGTTTTTAAACAATTAAATGGGGTCATGGAATTTACATCCTGTGTTTTCTAACTATTCTGCTAATTTAGGCCATTCATGTTAACAAGTATTTATTGTGTGCCAAGTAAGTTCAGACCACTTTTTTAAACCCCATGAGATACTGACATGAATAGCACAAGTATCCTAGCATAAGTTAATCACAGTGTAGATTTGGTACTTAAGGGAAAGAGCTACTAATTATGACTGCAGTGGATCAGTAGATAAGGTAGAGTTCAAGCTGGGTTTTAAAGGAGATAAAAAACAGTTTTGATATTAATAGAATAGGAAGCCCTGAAGTCAGGAGTCAATTTCTCCCCTAGACCTATGCTAATGATCCAAGGAAGACATTATGAAGGTATTAACTGGGCAGTGGTAATGGGAAAGAAAAAGGAAAAGAATCAAAAGTTACCTGAACAAAATAACATACAAGCCTTGGTGATGCAAATGTGAAGGTCGAGAGAAATTACAAGTCAGAATGGGTTTGATATTTCCACTCAGGATGCTTAGGAGATTGGTAATGCTATAAGCAAAACAATGAAAACATAGGAGCAACATGTATGGGGAGAACATGAGGGTTTTAGAGATAAGTTTAAAATGCCCATGGTGCTGGGCCTGGTGGCTCACACCTTTTAATCCCAGCTGCTTGGAAGACTGAGGCAGGAGGATTGTTTGAGCACAGGAGTTCGAGACCAGCCTGGGCAACATACCTCAAAAATATATATAAAAAAATGTCCATGGTACACACAGGTAGAGATGCCCAAAGCTTAGCATAGTACCCAGCACATGATAGGTTTTGGGGAAGAATACTACATCTCTACTCCACATATTTCCTTTAATGTAACCTTTTTAGTCTCTTTCTTCCTCCCTTTTTTACTCTTCCTCAAAGGAGAAGTAATTTATCTGAATGGGGAGTATGAGAAGCTAGACAAGTAGCTCAGCTCCTTTTTTTCCCCTTTCTTTTTAGTTAACTCTCAGGAGTATGTATTCATTCTGCTCTGCTCCTCAAGCCATCAGTTTTTCAGGGGTGGAATCTGCCCTTTCAGGAGAGAGCCTGCCCCAGTCTGCTTCTGTCTGTCCCTGGGGAAGTTCAGGGTACAGCCCACTTGCCTACCTACAAAGCCTCATTCCTTATTATCAGATTTTTCAGCAATAAAGGTGATATTTTGGTCTTCTAATTGCCTTACTCTTTTTGTTCTTCTCTTTTTTTCAGTATATTATAGGGGTACAAATGTTTAGGTTACATGTTGCCTTCTCCGCCCCTCCCCTCCCAGAGTCAGAGCTTCAAGCATGTCCATCTCCAAGATGGTGCGCATCGCACTCATTATGTATGTATATACCAATCCCCTCCTTCCCCCGTCCCATCTGCCCAACACCCGATAAATGTTATTCCTATATGTCCACTTAGGTGTTGATCCATTAATACCAATTTGCTGGTGAGTACATGTGGTGCTTGTTTTTCCATTCTTGAGATACTTCACTTAGTAGAATGTGTTCCAGCTTTATCCAGGAAAATACAAGAGGTGCTAGGTCACCATTGTTTCTTATAGCCCAGTACTCCATGGTATATATATACCACATTTTATTAATCCACTCATGTATTGATGGGTACTTGGGTTGTTTTCATATCTTTGCAATTGTGAATTGTGCTGCTATAAACATTCAAGTGCAGATGTCTTTTTTATAGAACGTCTTTTGGTCTTTTGGGTAGATGCTCAGTAGTGGGATTGCTGGATCAAATGGTAGATCTACTTGTATCTCTTTAAGGTATCTCCATATTGCTTTCCACAGAGGTTCAACTAGTTTGCAGTCCCACCAGCTGTGTAGGAGTGTTCCTATCTCTCCACACCCATGCCAATATTTATTGTTTTGGGACTTTATGATAAAGGCCATTCTCACTGGAGATAAGTGATATCTCATTTGTGGTTTTGATTTGCATTTCCCTGATGATTAGAGATGTTGAGCATTTTTTCATATGTTTGTTAGCCATTATTCTGTCTTCTTTTAAAAAGTTTTTGTTCATGTTCTTTGCCCACTTTTTGATAAGGTTGTTTGATTTTTTCCTTGTTGATTTTCCTGAGTTCTAAATAGATTCTAGTTATCAGTTCTTTATATGTGTAGCTTGCAAAAATTTTTTACCATTGTGTACGTTGTCTGTTTGCCCTCCTGACAGTTTCTTTGGCTGTGCAGAAAGCTTTTCAATTTGATCAGGCCCCGTTCATTTATTTTTGTTGTTGTGTGATTGCCTTTGGTGTCTTCTTCTTAAATTCTTTGCCTAAGCCAATGTCTAGAAGAGTATTTTTAACATTTTCCTCTAGAATTCTAATAGTTTCACACCTTAGGTTTAAGTCTGTTACCCAGTGTGAGTTAATTTTTGTGAGAGGTGAAAGGTGTGTATCCTGTTTCAGTCTTCTACATGTGGCTATCCAGTTTTCCCAGCACCATTTATTGAATAAGGATTCTTTTCCCCAGTGTATGTTTTTGTCTGCTTTGTCAAAGACTGTATGGCTATATGAGGATGGTTTTATATCTGGGTTCTCTGTTCTGTTCCATTGGCCAATGTCCCTGTTCTTGTGCCAGTAAAAAGCTGTTTTAATTACTATAGCCTTGTAGTATAGTTTGAAGTCTGGTAAATTGATACCTCCTATTTTGTTTTTATTGCCTAGGATTGCTATTGCTATACGGGGTCTTCTCTGGTTCCATACGAAGCATAAGATTATTTTTTCTATATCTGTGAAAAATGATGATGGTATTTTAATAGGAATTGCATTGACTCTATAGATCACTTTGGGTAGTATAGACATTTTAACAATGTTGATTCTGCCAACCCACAAGCATGGTATGGTTTTCTACCTGTTTACGTCCTCTGCTATTTCCTTCCTCTGTCCTTCTCTTTAATTGGCCCAGAGCCAAGCCAAGGAGGAGGTTGTTATTTATTGGACTCCTTTGAACCCCAACAGTAGGTGCTCAGAAATATTTACTGAATAAAGTTTTTAACTGACATCTCTAGTAGCAACTGGAAAGCCAGATGTAGAAGTCAGGACAGAGTTTAAGTTAAGGAAGTAGATTTAGAAATGATCAGCATAAAAGTAGTGCTTATTAGGCTTGAGTGGAGTTACTATCGTTGTTTTATAGCTAATATTTATTGAATGCATACTATGAGTCAGGTCCTGTTCTAAGTGCTTTACATGTATTAGCTCATTAATCCTTATAAGATCCCTATGAAGTAGGTTACTATTATTTGAGCCCTATTTTATAGGTGAAGAAACTGGAGCATATTGCTGTGTGACTTGCCTAAAGTCACACAGCCAGTAAGTGACAGAGCTGAAATGAAATAAATGAGATAGGACTGTCTAGGGAGAAAATAAACCAAAAGAAGAGTATTTTCATTTCTTGATTTCTACCTTTCTCTACTCCATAATGAGCACAATGCTTCCTCAACACTTTACAACTCAACTGTATGATGAAAGCTAATGACACAGATCCTGTAAAGGTGACTGCCTAGAGGAAAAATAGATCTAAAACCAAGCACTGGCCATGGCTGTTTGTTTAACCTGCTTTTTATTTGGTAACCAATAACAATCTCTTTACTGGTATAGTTTTTCATCTGGCTGCATGCTCACTGGAGTGGACCACAGAATGGAACTTCCTTTGAAAAAAGGGAAAGCTCTGCTTTTAAGACAGTTGCAGAACGGTAGAGAAAAGGGTAAAAAAAAATTGCTTGTATTAGGAACAACTTGTTCTGTTTTTGGGGTAATTTTCTTTGCTAACCAGTCATATGAAGAAGACAACTAGTTTCTCCTATATGACTCCAAATTCTTTTCTCTACCTTTACAGACTCTGAGATCAAAAGGCGGAGTCACCTACAGCTACTGCACTCAAAGGCTTCCGTGTGTGCCTCTTCTTTCTTTGTCATCAGCTGGGTACTCCTGCCTCTCTCCCCTTACCTGATGCTCAAATAATATGACTTGGTCACACAAAAAATGCAAAATCATTGGTCCAACAGGTGAGATGAAGCACAAACGGTATGGGAGACTGGTTCTGTGTGTGCTTATGTTCCTAACGAGAGTCAAATAGCCTCCAGCATCAGCCACAAAGAGAAACATTTAATGATGCCAGGGTTGTAACACCATTTCCAGTAGAATTGTGAAAGGTAATCATTTGTTAGCTTAACAAAAAGCATAGACCTCACTGACAAACTTAATGGGAAAAACAACTCTATACAATTCAGATATTTCTGTAAATTCAAATACCTTTTAATTTACTGAGTCATCAACAAAGTCAAAAATATCTTATTGAAGAGAAAAAGATGTTTAGCTCTGAAGGGTTACCCTGGATTTCACTGTTATTTATAAGGCATAATGACATACACATAATCACTCACATAAGTGACCTCCCCTCCACCCCCTGACAAGGCTCCTTTTGACAGGAGAGCTGGCAGATGACTCATTGATTAGCCCTCCTACTGAGACTTCTCTTTCTTACTTCAGTCCTCTGGCTCCAATTATTATTAGGACCTTTACTTCTGAATATTCTTCTGCATATGGAATGTGTATAAAGCTGAACTCATGAAGATCCAGTCAACACTCCCATGTTACTCAGTGGCAACCCCACAAAGCCTCCAGGCTCACAGCCTTAGAGCTACTTTTGCCTCCCCTCCATCCTTTATGTCAATTTGTTACCAACCCCAACAGCATTTTCCCCTGTGTTGTCTCTCAGATTGATCCTAATCTAGCCTTTGTCATCTCACACCCAGACTAGTTCTAAAACCCTGTATTTGCTCCTTCCTCTCCCTGTTTCAGCTGATAAGAAACATGTTGCCAGAATCAAAGAATTCAAACACTATTTTCATCACAGCATTCCTTTGTTCTGGAGCCCAAAGTGACTCTCTGGGCACTACTGTGTCAAAGTTAAAGTCCTTGCCTTCTCAATTTCTCTCCCTGAGCTTCCTCCTTCTCTCAGCTTCCTACTACTACTCTCTGTTCTTGCTCCCTCTCTCACTGCCCCTTCCTGGAAATCTCCTCTACTCCACAGCAATTCATATTCACTGCTTCCTTTATCCATTTCGGGAAAAGGCTTCCTAGTTTATAGCCCCCTTTCCTGAGGGTCTTTGTATTTTACATCCTCTTGGCATGCATGTATAATTTATATCTTATACTCTCTAAGGCACATATTCCTTGCCTAGATTGTTATGTTCTCAGGGGCAGACAAAGATCTATTTTTCTGCTTGTTTTGTTTCTCTCATTCTCCAAGCTTTACTACAGTGTAGTATACAAAGTAGATTCTTTATATGGAAAGCCTCCAGTTTCCATGATTTCCAATCCTCCACAGCTGTCAGTAGAGAGAGATTTCCCTAGAGAAACAAACTGTCCCTTGGGGATCTCACTCATAGAAGAAGGAACATTTTCTTCTTTCCTTGATTCCCCACAACACTGTAAATGAGTTTTAACAACCTGCAACTAGGTAATATGACCTATATAGTATAGCTGATTCATCTTACCTTGTATTCCCTTAGAGTAATAATCTGCAGCCCTTTCTTTAAAAGCCACGGCTTCTGTGTGATGGATGATGTTCACATGCAGTCCATGTGGGGTCTGGGACAGTGACCCAGTGAGCTGCAGCTCCACCTCTTTCTCCCTAGAACCATAGAGAAATAACCTTAAAGCAAGTAGATTTGTAAAACTAAATGAATACATCATTTTTTGTGACATACATTATAACTAATCATGATATTTTAGGTCAGACACACTCCCTGGTTGAAAACTGAGGCAAAAGCCACCTTTCTACCTCTACTCAGGAGCCTGTCCAGACTTCATCTCTCAGTCTCCATTCTCTCTAAGGACCTGTTTCTTCCCCAAGACTGTCACTGTGATGATACTCCTTTAAGGAGAGATTCAAGCCATCTCCCTTCCCCCCAGCAACCCATGGGACCCTGTGGCCTCAATAGACCAACATCAAAATACAGAAAAATAAGCCCATTTTAAAATAAGAGATATATTCACACAGTGGCAGGAAGACTCTTAGTTCTCAATAAATGTTTGCTGAATGACTTTAATGGTATCTTATTGCTGTTATTTTCAGAATCCCAGGAATCTACAGAACTATTGCACCACCAGATATGACCTAGTTTTTTATATTTCTGGGGGAAAATGAATTCATGTCTAGAGTCTGGAGTGGACAAACAAGAACAAGGGACAAAAAGAAGCCAAAAGCAACCACAAAAGACTCCAGTATGAACAAGATAATTCTATCTTCAAAGATATATTAAAAGTTGGGAGAATAATTCATCTGAACTGGAGAAATATGTTAAGACTGTTAAGTAAAATGCATTTTGGAGATAAGTGTATCCCTAGGTCTCAGGGACCTCCCCTTACCTATTATCTCCTGGGGAGTGAGAGGACAGGATATTGTATGTCCCTTGTCTCTGAATCCTTATTTACATGTTCTGTAATGTTGCTCTGAGGAAGCTCTTGGAAAGTGTCAGTCGCAATATACCCACATCTTCTATTCCACAAATTCAACTGTAGTTTATGCTGTAAGCAGCTGATTCAGCTGCCATTTCACAACTTAGGGGTGGCTGCATTTTAGTGATGGGTCAAATGATTCACTTTTCATTATGATGCTTCCACCCACCTGAAAAATGGCTTATCCTGCCACCTGAAAAATGCCAAAGACATGAAAAATTATCATAATTTTGGCATAAACAAAGTAGTTGGTGACAATGATTTCACAAATAACCTGAGCACCTTCTTTTTAAACAACAAATGCCATTCTGTTTCTCAAATGATGTTCATTTGTGAATGGTCCAGGGAAGGACCTCTCACCTTGACTATGTGGCATTATGTCATCACAAGGTTTGAGGCTTTTACTTTCTATCCTACAAGGACAGCTATGACCTAAGCTTTCAACATCATCTAGAAGAGTAGGACTCAACTGGGGTGATGCTGCTTCCCCATCTCCCAGGAAACATTTGGCAATTTCTGGAGAAAATTTTCATTGTCACAAATCAAGGGTGGGATGAGCATGTGACAGTACTACTGGCATCTAGTAGATAGAGCCCAGGGATGTTGTTCAACATCCTACAATGTATAGGATGTCTCCCCACAACAAAGAATTACCCATCCTCAAATGTCAACTGCACCAATGTTAAGAAACCCTGATTTAAAGTAGAAAGGGATCTAGAAAAGAGGGCAGTTTGCTCCCTAAAAATAGGCATTCTCTTTGGCTACTGCCTCAGCACAGAGAGCCAGAACTCTATTGGGCAACCAGGATAACATCTTTCGAGAACAGAGTTGACAAGGCCTGAGGGAAATTTCTGATGGGATTATATTCAGCTTGTTGAGCTTCTAAATTCCTTTCCCTTCGCTCTACCCTAAAACCAAGTTCTGTAAGACAGCTACCTGAATTCCATCTCAAGTTCTCTCACTCTAATTTAGATCTCCAGACCCTGCCTGGCCAAAATTCAAATTAAAGCAACAAACATGTTCCTTCCTCAAAACATGCAGAGACTTTTGAAAACAGGGACAATGACCCTTTGAAATGAGGCCTTGATGAATGAAGCTCTGATGGAAAAGAATGCTTTGTTTCCAGCACCCTTCCCGCACTCTTTTCACGTGTTGATCACTGCCTTCCTGGCACTTTGGAACCACCATGACTGTATTACATTTTGTTATAGAAAACTTGATTTTGGAGTTCTAACCATTCAAGAGAATGATTAAATATCTATTTCCTACACTGTTGTCTGCCTGGTTTGTTAAAGAAAATAAGTGGAAGGGAAGATGGATTAAAAAGCTGTAGAATAGGTTCTAAAAATCAGTACCTAACACATAATAGGCCTTTGATAAATGTTGAGTGAATAGGTAAGTGAACGGGAGGGCATGAGAGGAGTCTGTGAGTATGGGCTGGATGGCTGGGTCTAGTTTCTTAAGGAAATTCCACTAGGCTTATACCAGCCTGGCATGTCTCCATCTGGGAAAATAGCAATGGCAATGGTCTTGAGGAAGATAAATGTGAGAGAATATATATATGGACAAACTTCTGACTTTAACTACTGAGGAATTATTAAATTTTTCAGATATAGACCCAGAAGCACAGGGTGAAGTATGGGTAGCTGGCTATCTGCAGGTTATGTAACTTTCCAAAGCCATGCTAGTAATTGGTGGAGGGATGTAATCTATAGAAAATGTACTTGTCAAGGGACAAATCCCCAAGGGACTTTCACATCAGCTTGCCCTGCTCCTTTTCCAGATTTGTCCTAATAGGCCTTTTGCAAGAAGAGACCAATGCTGCATCAAATTGAGAAAGCAAACTATGAAAGCAAAACACTCCCAGCCCAGGTTGATTATTTGGCCTTGTCCACGAGCACATAGCAGATGCATTAGATAACAGATGTAGGTCATATCAGCCCAAGTGTAAGGACCAGAATATGATGTACACCACAGACATCTGGGGCTGCTTAAACTTAAATGCCAAAGCCACAGTATTTTCAGAAGTATTAACACATTTGATGGAACAAACAAGTCAAACTTGAGGGTGAAGTATGGGCTACCAGCTATTCCCAGATTGTATGGAAGACTCGTTTTAAGTACACAGTGATCTCAATCTGTGCATTGTTAATTGAGGGAGAGGAGTGTACTGGGGGTCATTATTACATAAGGCTTCTACTCTATGGAATAGGTAGTGTGCTTTGGTTCTCTGATGAAACTTAAAATGTTCAATCACCCTCCAGCTGGTGAAATCTCCACATATCCACTGTGCTGCTCTAATTCAGACTGTCTGTCTTACCATGTGCCTGAACTACTTGCTCCTTCTACCTTGGCTTATTTCCTCTTTCACATGATTCCATTCCTAGGAGTTTCAATATGGAAGTCATCAGTGAAAATAAATAGGGTCCACAGAAACAGAAGCTTGGTTCTTCTCTCTCCTATTTTTCTTTAAATTTCACCCACCAACAAGGTCCAACAAAAATTCCTCTTTCCCCATGAAGCTCTACCTGAGTGGTCCAATACACCATGATCTTACCCTTTTCTTTAGTCTACTCATGCATCTTAGTACAAAACCACAGAGTTTGTTTTCATTGCTGTGTATTTGGACTCCATTAAAAATGATGACAAAATAAGGATGGGGACCCAAGCAGCCCTTGGAAGTTTGCTCTGTGAAAGACAGTGAAGTAGGTATCCCCTAGGAAGGCTTGTATCTCTTCAATTTAAATCTAATTGTCCGGCCTAAGAGGTATTCTTAGTATTTTCAATTTAAAGATCCCTTACTCCAAACACTAAACAGTACTTTAAATAAGAACTTTATGGCTTAGTACAACCTCTATGGAAAAGAGTATGGAGATTCCCAAAACAATTGAAAGTAGAACTACCATTTTATCCAGCAATCCTACTACTGAGTATTTGCCCAAAGGAAAAAAAGTCATTTTATCAAAAAGACACCTGCACTCAAATATTTATTGCAGCACAATTCACAATTGCAAAGATGTGGAATCAACTCAAGTGTCCATCAATTCATGAGTGGATTAACAAAATGTGGTACATGTATACTATGGAACACTACTCAGCCATGAAGAAGGATGCATTAAGGCCTTTTGCAACAATTTGGATGAAACTAGAGTACTGAGGTCCACTGATGCAAATAACCTCTTTTACAGAAGGAAAAGGAATTGAGTGCCTCCTATGTGTGAAACATACTAAGATATTTCTCTCATTCAATCCTTATCCTATAAGGTGTGTATCATTTTGACCCTTGCACCACCACCATCACCATTTTATAGATGAGAAAACAGGTCCTGAGAAGGTAAGTAACCTACTCAGGAGCCAGCAGGTTAACCAGAATTCAAACCAAATCTATCATCACACCCCATACTATTTTTGAAAGAGCATGAGCATGTATAAAAGTGCTATGAAAGATTTAAAACATATAAATATTGCCTTCTACGTTCTTATTTTTGTTAAAATATGAGGATTGGTTGGGAGCTCTTACTTCATTGCTCATGAAGATCTTTAGCCATCTGTGAGGAGGACAGCTCCTCTCCTTGGAGGACACAGCAATGATTCCTCAATTATTGGGCCTTCCTAGATGCACAAAGGGGCTGGCAGTGAAATTGCAAGTCTCCTCCTAACTCACTCTAAGGACACCACCTTGTGCTCCCAGAAGTTCCTTGCAGAATGTCTCTAAGACTTCAGATATAATCTGTAATCTTCTGAGGTAGAAGTCTTTACCAGATGATACAAAATGGACCAGAATATGATGTACACCACAGACATCTGGGGCTGCTTAAACTTAAATGCCAAAGCCACAGTATTTTCAGAAGTATTAACACATTTGATGGAACAAACAAGTCAAACTTGAGGGTGAAGTTTGACTTGTTTGAGACCAGTTTATACATTCCTTGCTGTTCTGCATCAATTGTACTTAGAAAGAACAGATTTAATTATTATAAAATCCTCCTTGAATCCACTAATGTTGAGAACTAGATCACATACGGTCCTATCCATTCTGCCATGACCAACCACACTCCTTTTATGTAGTCAAATCATTTTTTTTTCTACTTTGATTTCTTCCTTTAATACTTATGTTTATATATGGTTAGACATTCCCCTGTACCCCAAGATTATATGAAAACTTAATCTTTACATTTTAATATTTTCATGTTTTATTTTTAATATTTAAATCTTTAATCCATCTGAAATTATATTTTTGGCATATTCTATGCAGTAAGGGAGTTAACTATTGTTTTTTCAAGTGATTCTACAATACTATTTGTAAGTTAATTCATCCTTCCCTTCACTGAATTTTTTAAATATTTTATTATGTTGTTTATTCTTATATATACTCATGTCTATTTCTGAACTTTTGATAACCTTTCAGGACTACAGTTTTAGCCAGCATACATAGGAAAGAAAAAAGTTATATGCAAATATATTCCCCTAGCTATTTCCTGAAAATGAATAACAAAGAGATAAAACAGAGGAAAAAATTAGAAATTATTAGTGAATAGTCAGAAAAGAATCATCAATTCAATAAATAAACTCTTCTAAGAATTTTCCTAGTGTAAATTAGGGTATTACCATTCTCCTTTAACAAACAAGGAGTAAACAGAGGTAGATACAATCTGAGTAAATATACACATGTGTCAGAAAAATGTTTCGCTCCATTAAATTCCTCTCCCCACCTCATCCATATATGAACCAGAGCATTCTACTTATCTACTCTCAGGATCAAGCCTGAGCATATTCTGAACAGAGTTGTTGCTGTGGGCAAAATCTATATTGGGAGTCACTGACTAAACAGTGCCTGCCTCATTTGGTAACTGTGACAATTAAATCAGATAATTCATAAAAAGCAGTTATTACATTGCCTGGCTGTGTAAGTTTGCTAGGGCTGTCATAACAAAATACCACAGACTGAGTGGCTTAAACAATAGAAATTTATTTTCTCAGTTCTTGAGGATGAAAATCCAAGATCAAGGTGTCAGATTTGGTTTCCCCTGAGACCTCTGTCTTTGTCTCATAGACAGCCGCCTTCTTGCTGTGTCCTTACAGGGCTATTTCTCTGTCCATGTGCACTCCTGGGGTCTCTCCCTCTTCTTATAAGAACACCTGGATTTGAACCTATCCATGTGACCTCACTTGACCCTCACTACCTCTTTAAAAGCCCTATCTTCAAATATAATAACAATCTGAGTTATGCTGGGGGTCAGGAATTCAACATATAAATTTGGAGGAACACAATTCAGTCCATAAACATGGGCATATATAGGAGGGAACTAATAAAAATTAGTAATTATTAAGCATATGTGTTGGGCACAACAAATGAATATCAAGAAACCATAAAAGGGAAGATATGAACAAATTTGCTTTTTTCCTCCATTTAACCAAGAACAGACAGTTAATGTTTGAACAGCTGGGACACAACAGAAGGCATTATCCAAATAGCTACTGATAGCAAACCAGGTCAGAGGACACTTGAAGACTAGAGCACAATGGCTCAGCAGGTAGATGCTGTTAAGGGAACTGAATTGGCTAATGGCCTCCCCAAACCACAGGTTACTATTTTAAATGTTACAAAAGACCACAGTGCATGAAAAGATGAAAAATAAAACCAGTGTGGGTCCAGTCTTTAAAGGAGGAAAACTGGTGATAAGAGGGCAGTTTGGCTCCATGTAACTAAACTAAATTGCTGAGTACTAGGGCTGTTTGGGGCTAGAGGTAGATTATAATCTATCCTGTTTTGGGGCTCTCAGGATAGAAACCAAGGTTATTTTCTATTTTCTTTCCTTCTCACTAAAACCCTTAACTTTTTGCAGTCTTTGAAGACTGAAAACACCCATGTGCTGATCAAAGTCATGTAAAAGGACAAAGACACACGTATCTCTAATGCTACATACTGTAAACATAAAAGAGGGTTTATTTGGGGAGAAACTTGCAGTCAGATTTGAAGGAGCAGGGCAATCCTCTGGGCTCTTGTTATAGTGCTTAGGCTAGTCATAGCTACACTAAGTCAACTGTTCCAGTACAGCGTAGTCTCCCCAACCCCATTATAGTAGATAGGAACCCTTCCCCACAGAAATGTTCTATATTTTATTTGTATCAAAAGAAGAGTAGGCAACTATGATGCTACAGAAGCTCCTAATTGAAAAAAATAGCCTTGTTAGAAAGGAGAGCCTCCAAAGTTCAGGAGTTGTTATTAGGTTGTTTTTCTGTCGAGGACTTCCAGGGTCTTCCAGATACGTGTCTGCTCAATCAAGAAAAAGGAATAATCAGACCTGCCTGCCAGCCATTGTAGGAGAGTCGGGCAATCCTCACTACATATAAGTGTCACTGGACTACAGATAGGTTGAAATGGCTGCGCAAAGGGTGACCAACTGTAAGCGCTCTCACATGGGTGTGACCATACATACTGGGTAGCCAGCTCCCTGCCTGTGGGAAGAAAAGGCTTGCTGGACTCTGCTCAGATTTGCACTAGCACTCAAATGAACAACTGCCCCAGCGTCTCAACTAATCTCTCTGCCTACAGTTTCATTTTAACTTTTGATTTGTGATCCAAGAACCGCCCCTTAGAGGCATGATACAAATACAAATAATGTGCTTCAGGAGGGCAAAAATAAGTATTAATTAGGCCTTGTTCAAAATAGAAGAGCGAGAAAGTTGAGAAATAGAAGAATGAGTCTTTCCTAGGTCAGTGTGGCATGGTGGTATGATTTGATCCAAAAACTCTGGCAGAATCCTATGCCTGTTCTTGAGAGAAGATGGGAAGAAGATGTTCTTGACAGAACATCTGGGAAGACAGAGGGAAAATGGCTACTCAACTAGTGAGTTAAATAAGCCAAGACTCTATTAGGACTCAAGACAGGTGATTCTCAGTTTTCCTTAATGTGCAAAAGAACTTCGGTATGTACGTACACTAAAAATTACTGGCAATTTTTAATTTATAGAGAAAGGAATTATTCCTAAATCTGCCCCCCCAATAATGATTACATGTCTGTGTGTGCTCCAATCTTTATCCATATGCACACATATTTTGAAGAGCTGCAATTATAGCCTTCATCTTGAGTAAATATATAGAATTACGTACCTAAAGATTTGCTAAATTAGAAAAGCAGTGGACTTTACTCAATCCCATGCATTTCACTTGAGGAATTTCATTCTGAAGTCCATCATTCATTAGATAGTGGTTCCTGCTGCAATGGGTGAAGTTGCAGCCTGTGTTGAACCTACACAATTTTATACAAAAGGAAAGGTGTAAAATTGGTAAGGAGCAGTAGATTTAAAATTGATGGAACCTAAATATGGGGGAAATGCCTGAAGTCCATAAGACAAAAAAGAGAATCTCTTACTTTCATAGAACATTCTGGTTTGTATTAACATCGTCTTTAAAATGGGGCTAATAATAGCTACTTCTCAGAGCTTTTGTGAGGAATAAATGATTTTTTTTTTTTTTTTTTTTGAGACAGAGTCTCGCTTTGTTGCCCAGGCTAGAGTGAGTGCCATGGCGTCAGCCTAGCTCACAGCAACCTCAAACTCCTGGGCTCGAGTGATCCTTCTGCCTCAGCCTCCCGGGTAGCTGGGACTACAGGCATGCGCCACCATGCCCGGCTAATTTTTTATATATATATCAGTTGGCCAATTAATTTCTTTCTATTTATAGTAGAGACGGGGTCTCGCTCTTGCTCAGGCTGGTTTTGAACTCCTGACCTTGAGCAATCCGCCCGCCTCGGCCTCCCAAGAGCTAGGATTACAGGCGTGAGCCACAGCGCCCGGCCAAGGAATAAATGATTTTTAAAAACCTAAAAACAGAAAACAAAGCCTGATACAAATGTAAGGAACTACTAGTATTACTCATGAGTCCATATCTCTCACTAAACTCCAAACTCCTGAAAAACAATTCCCTTACTTCTTATCTTGGTATCCTCTCCACTCCACCACTTCCCACCTCCCACTCCTGTCTACCCCTCCTGTAGAGTACTATAATACAGACGCAGAAACAGAGCTCCGTTGGAACTGAAAGAAACAACCAACCAATTTCTCCTGGGATTGTCAGGAATATTGCACCAAGAGTTTTACAGGAGTAATAATGTGGATCTGGGAGCTATTTTTAATATTTCATAAAAGTCTAACCTGAAATTATGCTATTATCAGCAGTAAAGCTTTACAAGCCAAATAAAACATCAAGGTTTTCTTTTGTTTTTTCTTTTTTTCTTGTTTTTTCCTTTGGAACGGAATTATATAAAACAACCATGCATCTCACAGAAAAATTAATTATTGCTTTATTTAATAAATATCATGAGAGGCTCTGTGGTAGCTGCAGAGAACAAAGAGATGAATAAAATAAGTTATAATCTTTGCCTTTAACCACTTCGGTAGGGCACTCACCGGCCTCGAAACCTTGCCCACAGCCGGCACTCATAGTCCTCACGATAGTTTGTGCTGTGCATTGACAACAAATCTGTTTTGCTCTTGTGTTTAAGGAAAGCTTTAAAGCACTGACAGCTTGCTTTACTTTACAGGCAGCTTTACTTGTAATGTAAAGCAGAATAGGTAACTTATACACATATGTTTTCATTATGTTATTTTTAAATGTTCACAATTTTATTTTGATAAATGAAAAATTAGAAAAGTTATATCATGGCTGTCGACTAAAGTTGACGCTCAGCTGTGGCCTTCATATCACGCTGTCCGCTAAAGTCTCTGTGTGCGTTCATCTGTGGCTATCGACTATAGTCGACGCTGGTACCAGAGTGGTTAAGGAATTCACAGTTCAGTGAAGACAGACAAGTTTAATGTATAAGTATAATATTGTATGACAAAGACAGTTACAATAAAGGGAATATATGTGAGAGTCTTAACCCAGACTTTAGTGGGGTTTGGTGGTCATGAAAGGCTTCCTGGAGGAAGTGAAACTTCTGGGAGTTATCCAGGCAATGGCTGTGTGTGAAGAATGATGAAGGGGAAGACCAGACAATATGTTCCAAGCAGAGGGAGCAATCTACGCAAGAGTCCAGAGGTGAGAGAAAACACGTTACCAAGAAACTGTGGTTCAGTAGGGCCCCATTATAAAACTGGAGCACAAGGTAGGTAGAGACAGGTTGTAAGGAAGGATGGCATTTTACCCCAACTTTTATTCTGAAAATTTTCACACCTAGAAACATGTGAAAAAATGGTGCAATGAACATATATATACACGCTTCATCTAGATAATACACACACAAAGATTGAGAGAGAGAGAGACAGGGAGAGAGAGAGAGAGAGAGAATTTGGCAAAATGTTAATTGGCGATGGACTGATGTTAGAGATTTCTGAAACTTCTCAGATGCTCCGTCTCCCCCAACCTGTAAATGTAAATCTTTCTCTATCTTTCTTCTATTTTATACTCTTATCTCTCCTTGGGAAACTTTGGAGATTAATTGGTCATTAAAAAGTTCCATTGTTATGTGTACACACTCTAGAAATATCCAGGTCAGATAAACCAGTATTTCTCCACTTTTTTTTTTCATGATCAGTGCTCTAAGGAACATTCTTAGACTTTTTTTCTTCCTAATCATCCTCTTAGGAAACTTTAATCTACAGATATACTATATATCTGCTTTTGTACTGTATATATATTTCTGCTCTATATGGTGAAAGTGTAAGATTTTTTTCATACCCTAAGAACCAAATTCTGAGAATGTATGAGATAAACAGATCTAACATAAAAGAGTAATAAATCAGATTATAATAGAATGAACACCTATTACAATTAATTTCTGGAGACAGTATTCATATATTAATCAGTTAGATAAGTGTAAAGTAAGATGAATTCTAAATTTCCTAACAAAAAAAGTTAACTTCTAATGCTCTGTTTTCATCTCTTCTAAGAAAAACATTTTTGTTGTAAACAAGCCATTCACTTTTATATGCTCCAGAGAACCCAGTATAGTGGTAAAAGACCAAATCAGTCAATTGTCCTCTTGTCCTAAACAAATGACTTCAATGACTAAAGTTTCAGTTGGGGAGTGGGTGCTGGAGAACATGGCAATCTCAAGCAGCTTGGGGGCAGCAGAGGGAACGAATTAAGTTAGGCAAGCACTAGAGAAGAATGCCCTTTGCATGAGGCAACAAAAACCAGGCAGGTGTTGGAATGGGAAGGTTGTACTGAAGATAAACTCTACTGATAACACTGTTTTGCCAAGGTCGAAAGCAGAACTGTTCAATAGAAATTTACTGTGAGCAATTTACATCATTTTATTCTAGTGTGAACTAAAATAAAATCTTAAGCCCCTGCCCAGGCTGACTGAATGGATGCCCTCTTGGACTCCCAAAGTGATACCCTAAAACTGAGTTACTGGCCATGAGAAGGGAGGTCAGGCATGCCTCATCATGTTCCTCTCTCTTCTTGTAGATATCCTTTGTAAGTCATTAACAGGCCTAAGGCTATGCAAGACAAAGCTGCAAGTCCTTAATTTAAGTAACAAATCACTTGAGTCTGGGTATATGGTCAGTGGCTTGTCTCTGATTAACAGATTTCCTTATCTTAAAAATATTCCAAGCCTTTAGAAAAAGCTTCATTTCTTTAACAAATTACAAATCAAAGAGTCTTTAAACCCACTGTAAGTCTCCACTTTAAGATGTCCCACTTTTTCAGGCCAAACAAATTGTACGCCTTTCATGTATTGATTTATGACTTTACATGTAATTCTTGTGTTTCTGAAATGTATAAAACCAAACTGTAACCCAACCACAGTGAGTCCACTTGCTCAAGGCTTCTTGGGTATGGCTCCAGGTCATAGTCCTCAAATTTGGCTCAGAATAAACCTCTTTGTTTTACAGAGTTGGCTTCATTTTCATTGACACTGTAACAGAGGGAAGGGCCTGAAAAAACAGTAAATGAACTGTCTGGCTGGGTCCATGCAGACAGAGGTCTGGATGAAGGTCATGAGATTGTCTTCCCCAGAGATGGGACAGAATAACAATTCCTGAGGCTGAAAATGTCCCTTTAAAAAGCTCTGTACTTCTGCTTATGATGAGTAGAATGGCACTTTAGACAGGAGTATCCATCCTCCTCATTTGCCAGCAAATTAATAAATCTCTTTCCTTCTTCTCAAACCACTTGTCCTTGTTCTTCTGGTGTGGCCTTGGGGACAAGTGTTGAGCTTTTGATAATGGAATGTGGTGTCCTTGGGTGGGCACCCCAAAGTAGGGGAGGAGCCTTGGGGCAAGCCATGAGTCTTTGCTGAAAGGAGAGGCTTCTTTTCAAGGTGGGAGAGTAAGGTAAGGTCCCAGCTGCCAGAGCCTGTTTTAGCTTCAGGGAAATCTCATCTCTCCCTCCCCCCCCCTCCCCTGCAAAGCAGATGCAGCTCTCCACAACCTGAACTGAGTTGAAGGGAAGGAAACAGTTTTGGGAAGTGTCTGGACATCATGGCCATTTGTTTGGTAAGTGACCCGGCCTGAACGCTGAGACCTTGATTCCAACCATTTGGGAGGTTTTCACACCTTCTTATTGGTTATTTGGTTGGTGGCACCATGTGGGGAAGAAGGGGGACTAGGCCACTATTTGGGAAGGGTTTTCAACCTTCTAGCCCTGTGGCAGGGCATTTGTGAGGCACCATTGGAGGTGCCATGGGAACCCTATGGATTCCCATTTATTTGATAGGGCCCTGGCATTTTGTGTTGGGAATCCCCTGTGGTGTCTGTGTTTGTTATTTGTGAGTTTTGTTGCAACATAAGGAAGCTCCATCTAAAATACCCTTGGGGAAAATCTTCACTGAATGGCCAAACTTATAGCTATAAATCCATGTCTACAAGAGCACAGTGTTATTGTAATCCAGTGTACATGGTGGAGTGTGAGAAGTGGCTGTTGAATGAAACCTTGCATTATTATACTCTCTTATAACTGGAATTATTTTGTCAAGGGTCATGTAAATGGGACGAGATCCTATATGTATTGGGTATGAAATGTCCAATTTCCTTAAGTTTGATTCGAGGTCATATATTCTATATTTAATGATCTATTACAATCTTAAAAACCTGGGATAAAGTTAATGGCACAAGAGAGACCTCTACTGATGGTGGGTGGAATAGTCGAGATACTTTGTTTTTAAACAGACATTTTCCCCGGTTCTCACCAGTTCTGGATCAGCACCACTGCTGCCCCAGAGGTGCACCTGGCTGGAGGGGGGACTGGCAGTGAACTCAGCTGTCACCCCACAGTGAGAGGGAAGCGTGGGCAGGGAGGGAGTGCCAGCCACCCAACTGCCTCTGCCCTTGGGCATGCGTGCCACCTGGCCCTGCCAGTGCCCACTGCAGTTGGGGTGATCCACAGGAAGATGTGAGCTCAGCCTCCCTTGAGCTCACACTAATGGGGCTCCTGCCAGACAGGCAGGCTGGTTCCCCTGCCCCTGCAGATCCTGGCCTGGGGCAATCGCCATCTTGTCACAATGAGGGGGCGGGAGAGGGCATGACTAGAAATAATTCCTCAGTCCCATGCTCAGTAGGTTATGACTTGGGGCTTGGAATGGTCTGTCCTGGCAGCAAACCCAATTTGGCCAGAGGGCAACCATACCTGGAGGAGGATAATTTATGTACAATCTGTGTGATATATATATATATATAAAGGAAACACACTGGAAAGAACATGGCCCAAAATTGCAAAAGACACCTGATAGCAAAAAGCCCCCAGGAGAGATTTTTTATTTTTAAGTCCAGGACTCAGATGATAAAGGTGGTGGGTAAATGCCCCCTGCCTCACTAGTAGCTCCAATTCAAATATTCCCTACAGGAGCCCTGGGGAAAATTGACAGTGGGAATTTTGATTGGTTCCAAGCTGTGTGGACAGAAGTAGCCTGGGGGTGGGAGTGGGGCTTCACCCAGCCACCACTTTTTCTTTTTCTTTTTCTTTTTTTTCCTTTTATTTCATCATATTATGGAGGTACAAATATTGTTAGGGTTGCAAAGGTGGTGCCCCTGCCCCCCCTCCCTCCCACCGATGTGTCCAATCTCCCGGTAGTGTGTACCACACACGTTATGAAAGCATACACCCCTTTCCTCCTCCCCCCTCCCGCCTGCCCACCACCCGATAAAAAGGTTTTGTTTTTGTTTGTGTTTTTTGACATTTTGGTTACATTGTATATCTTTGGCTCTCCCTAAGAAGGGTTAGAGCTATGCCTTTCCCCTCCAAAGTGCTCACCGCATCCCTAAGATTGGGTCCCCTCCCCCCCAATCCCTGGTGAGCATTGCCACCATTTGAAAACCATAGTTTTAATCAGTCAGTACCAATTTGATGGCGAGTAGATGTGGGGCCCATTTTCCATGTCTTGTGTTGCCTCGCTTTGGATAACGGGCTTAAGCTTAATCCAGGATAGCATAAACAGTGCTAGCTCACAGTCATTTCTTAGGATTGAGTAATATTCCATTGTGAGCATATACCACATTTTAATTATCCACTCATGAATTGATGGACACTTGGGTTGTTTCCATGACCTTGCAATAGTGAATTGTGCTGCTATAAACATTTGGGTGCAGATGTCTTTATAATAGAATGTCTTATGCTCTTTTGGGTAGATGCCCAACAATGCTATTGCAGGGTCGAATGGTATTTCTATTTCTAGCTGTTTGAGGTATCTCCAAATTCTTTTCCACAAAGGTTGCACTAATTTGCAGTCCCACATGCAGTGTAGGAGTGTTTCTGTCTCTCCGCATCCTCGCCAGCATTTGTTGTTTTGGGGTTTCTTGATATAGGCCATTCTTACTGGGGTTAGGTGGTATCTCATTGTGGTTTTGATTTGCATTTCTCTAATAATTAGAGAAGTTGAGCATTTTTTTATATGTTTGCATGCCCTTATTCTGTTTTCTTTGGAGAAGTTTCTTTTCATTTCTGTCGCCCATTTCTTGATGGGATTGTTTGATTTTTTTCTTGTTAATTCTTTTAAGTTCTAGATAGATTCTTGTTATTAGACCTTTATCAGAGGTGTAGAAAGCAAATATTTTCTCCCACTCTGTGGGTTGTCTATTTGCTATACTGATGTTTCCTTGGCTGTGCAGAAACTTTTTAATTTGATCAGATCCCATTTGTTTATTTTTGATGCTGCAGTGATTGCTTTGGGGGTCTTCCTCATAAATTCCTGGGCATTAGCTGGCTCTGTGAGCTGACAGGAGGTGGTAGGGGAGGGCCCAGGTGTTAGTGAGGCAGCTGTAGGCAGGTAGTGGCTGAGGAACTCCTCTCAGTAGACCCAGGAATTCAGATGTGGGTGAGCAGCAGGAGTGCTTGGAGTTGTTTCAGAACTTGGCAGAGGGGCCTCCAAGCTCCTCCTGGATAAATATGGGGCCTGGTAAAGTATTACAAGAGACTGCCATTGTGCTTTGAAGTTTGGGCCTCAGCAGGCCTATCATTAACAGCATTTACAAGAAGAGAGCTACCAAAAGTGAGTAAGACCATATAGGCTGATGGGACCCTGGGACATACAGAGAGAACTTAAATTCCCCAGACCAGTGAGTATAGATGCATGCAGGCCCAATGTGCCACTAATAATATTGTCTCAGCTGCATTTGAGTGGCAGGATTCTGGGATTGGGGTGGCCTTGCAGTGATGCTGGACTGTGTTAGGGACTTTAAAAGGGCAGGACAAAATGCCTTTGAAAAACTAAAGCAGAGTCTTATGATGACTGCCCCTGCTTTGGGGTTGCCTGATGTACAGATACATTCACAAAAAATAAGGCATGAACCTTGGAGCCTTAGTATTTGTTCTCCTACCCAAGGCCTTGCTTTGGCCTCTTGTGGGGCAACTGCATGAATGCACACTAAGGGTGTGATACCTTAATGGATTTGGGAGGACCCCATTTTCAGCGGACTGTGTGCTTGAAACAAGCCAAAGACAAAGTAACCTGCTGCAAAGGGAACCAAACATGTGAGGTTTCAATGATTAGAAAAATTGATTTCACTCAGATGCCTAACCTTGTATTAGTAGATACCTTTTCAGGCGAAGTAGAGGCTTGTCCTACCCAAATGGAGAGAGTGTCTGACGTTCCAAGATGGGCTCCTACCAGGAGCTGCTGGCCTGGGACAGGGCCATCACTGAGTTGCTGAGCACATACACCAGCATGGAACAGGCCTTGGAGTACAGCATGATGACAGGCATCAGCAGTCCAGGGAAAGAGGCCAAGCAGATGGAGAATGGCATGCTGTTGGAGGAGCCGGGGTCTTCCTCAATGGCATGCTGGCTGCAGAAATCTCAGGCCAAGAAGGGACCTGGAAGCTGATGGAAGCAGACAAGGCTCTGACAGGGAAGGTCAAGCTGTCTGTGTCCTGAGACTCCATGTTGCTGCCCTGGTTTCCAACTGTTGGCTCAGTCTCTGGACCTATGGCCCCATTGTCAACATGACCCAGGAGCACACTAAGTCCGTCTGAGCACCCACAGAGCCATTTTGCAAGAGTGATAATGGAGCCTCCTTTGTAGTGGAGATAACCCACAAAATAAGTAAGGCCCTACACCTGAAATGAAAATTACATGCATTTCGGAATTGATACAGGAAACCCATCTAAAGTGTGACAGGGTGTTCCTGCTTGCCCTCATCTGGATAAGGGTAGTCCACAGAAGCACGCTTAAGTTAAGCCCTTAAAAATAGTTTATGACAGGCCGGGCGCGGTGGCTCATGCCTGTAATCCTAGCTCTCTGGGAGGCCGAGGCGGGCGGATTGCTCGAGGTCAGGAGTTCGAAACCAGCCTGAGCAAGAGCGAGACTCCGTCTCTACTATAAATAGAAAGAAATTAATTGGCCAACTAATATATACAAAAAATTAGCCGGGCATGGTGGCGAATGCCTGTAGTCCCAGCTACTTGGGAGGCTGAGACAGGAGGATCCCTTGAGCCCAGGAGTTTGAGGTTGCTGTGAGCTAGGCTGACGCCAGGGCACTCACTCTAGCCTGGGCAACAAAGCGAGACTCTGTCTCAAAAAAAAAAAAAAAAATAGTTTATGACAGACCCTTCCTACCACCCTAAGGTGAGTATTGTAATATAACTATGAGTAAGTAAAAAGCAATATGTCAAATGAGTAGATCAGGTACTAACCATCATGCATGAGTTTGCCTCTTCAGGTCGCCGCACCAGTTGGAAGCAGAGAAAGGGAAGGGACACTATGAAGTGACTCTAACAACTCACACCTCATTGAAATTGTCAGAAGTGAAACCCTGGGTCCATCATACCAGAGTAAGGAGGTATCCCACGGAAGAAGAGGACCCAAACCCCCAGTGGAGGGGCCGGCCTTTAGGTGATCCAAAGTATCTGTTTAAAAAAAAAGGGAAAAATGAAAATGTTGATATTTTTACTAATCTTTCTTTGGTTACTTATTTTGTCTACAGGATGGAGGGACAACTCCTTAGTGAGGATTTCCCTGGGCTATTGCCTCTTCTGCTGATCCATCTTGCTGCTGGGTTTGTCATCCTAGACTTCATTTAATGCAAACATTTCTGTATACGATTTCTGAATTTGCAGAAGCCAATCTCTTAGATCACCTCTTAGGGTGCAACCAATAGTTCTGTACTCAAAGGTCTCACGTTTCTTTCTAACCTAGCCCCGTATCAGACATTGTGTACAAGGCAACAGTCCATTTTACCTTGTCAATCCTCACTGTTGTAACTGTTGCTTATGACTTTTTTTGCCTGACAATCTGTTGTTGTAAATATACTGCCAGAACTTTGTAATGGCATACATAAGTATAAGCCTTCCATCTAAAACATTGCCCCAATTCAGCAGGATGTAGCTTGAGGACTACATTGCCCCTCCTCCCATATACATGGAAGGGTAAAATTGACAGTAGGGAATATGTAACAGAGGGAATGGCCTGAAAAAAATGGCAAAAATGTTTTCTGTCTCTTTAAAACTTTCCCCACTCCTTTTGGAGAATGAAAACCTGCATCCCTGCCCCAGCCCAGTGGTCAGGAGGAGCAGTAGAGAGTCCTTTGTTCTTTGCGCTATGGGAGATGGCTCAGTGGAACTGCCCAGCTGGGGTACTGGTGGGCAGAGGTCTGGGTGGAGGTCACAAGATTGTCTTCCCTGGCCATGGGATAGAACAGCAATTGCCTGAAGCTAAAAACCTCTCTTTAAAAGCCTCTATATTTCTGCTTATGATGAGTAGGATGGCATTTTAGGCAGGAGTCTCCATCCTCCTCATTTGCTGGCAAATTAATAAATCTTTCTTTCCTTCTCCTCAAACCACCTTGTCCTCGCTCTTCTGATGCAGCCTCAGGGACAAGTGCTGAGTTTTCGGTAACAACACTAGTAGCCAAATTTTAAAAGTAGAAAGAAATAAGTAGACATAAATTTAATAATAGGTTTTATTTATATTTTTATTAAAATACTATCACTTTCGGCTACGTAAATATTCAGTGCTAAAAAGAAATAGGCTATCAAACCACAAAATGATATGGAGAAAAATGTATGTTGCTAAGTGAAAGAAGGCAATCCGAAAAGGCTACATACTGTTTAATTCCAACTATATGAAATTCTGTAAAAAGCAAAACTATAGAAACAGTAAAAAGATCAGTGGTTGCCAAGGGTTATGGGGAAGGCAGCAACGAATAGGCAGAAAACAGGGGATTGTGGGGGCAATAAAACAATTTTGTGTAATACTCAAATAGTTGATACATGCCATATATTTGTCAAAACCCATAGGATGTAGAACACCAAGAGTGAACCCTAATGCAAACTATAAACTTGGGGTGATAATGATATGTCAATTTTGGTTGACTGATTGTAACAAAGGTACCACCCTGGTGCAGGATGCTGATGGTAGGAGAGGCTGTACCTGTGTGGGGAGAACAGATATATGAGAGCTCTGCACTTTCTGCTCAATTTTGCTGTGAACCTAAAACTGCTCTAAAAAATAAAGTGTATAAATACTGTAAAAATAAAAATATATAACATGCTATCACTTCAACATGCAATTAATATAAAACATTATTGAGCTATTTTACATTCTTTTTCTCCATGATAAATCTTCAAAAACCACTGTATATTTTCCACTTACAGCATTACCTTAATTTGGACTAACCACATTTCAAGTGTTCAAAAACCACACATGGCTAATGGCTCCCATATTGGACAACATAGGTCTAGAGGAGTGGCAGTGCCAAAGGTGGCTTGGGAGGAATTTCACCCGCCCTGTATTCTTCTTACCTCCTAATTTCTATCTGCATTGCTCCAAGCCACACTGGATACATATTTAAGGAAAAAGTGCTTTTGCTCTGCAAAAGGAGCTTCCAAACAAGTCTCTGAACTTTCTTTCTGTCCAGATTGTTTCCTCTTGGCTCCTTGGATATTCAGGGGCATTGCCCCTGCACCACACCCTGCCCAGTCCAGTGCTCCAGACAGTACCATTCCAAAGATCTTCTTGGTGTGACTCTATCTAAAAGAAGGGCATGGAACACTGAAAAATGAAAGGACTTTATCACACCAGAATTTCCTAAAAACCCCACGTACCCCTCACCAATAATAGGAGAAATCTTTCAGGTCCTAAACACTGTGCAGTAAAAGGAAAAATTTATTAAAATGCAGTGCAGATTTAAACGCTACCTAGAAAATAGGTATTTAAGAAAAAAATAGTTGCTGTCACTATAGAAATAAATAAATAGGCTTTGCCTTAGTTGGTGGAGATTATTTATATTTCCCTACAACTAGGAACATTATTTATATTTCCCAGGCAACATTCCTGGAACTAATGTATAGACTTCTCTATATGCCATGATATATTATAATCTACTCATGCTCTAAATGCTATTAGCAAGACGTGGGTGCATTTTAGCTCAGAAAAGTTAGCTGTCACTTGAATTAGAAAAGGTACCATATTAAATCATAGTCTACCCTTATATATTTATCATTTTCAGGTTTTATTACTCATAGAGGTAGGGGAAAAAGGACACCATTTTCAATAGTTCTTCCAAAAGAAGGGAAAGGAAAAAAATAGAAAGTGAACTGACTGTAAAATAAAAAGAGACACTGACTCACAGAATCCTGCAAAGTCCTTACCCTCATTGACTTACCTGCAAAGAAAACTGCATGACATGAAGTGAAATACACACATATGAGTTTTACTTGTAGTCACAAAAATCATGATTAAATGTCTCACTCTCACCTGAGACCTCTTTGAAATGAAGGAGAAAATTTTAAAAATTAAATAAAGTTTGTATTTAACTATACATGGCATATTTTAAATTAAGAGGTCTTCACTAAATATCCAAAATATTTTCCATCTTTACATCTAAATCTTTACAAATAAGTATCTTAACATAATCTTAATGTAATTTAATAATATGACATTATATCTTGGATCTGTTTTAAAATACTGCAGCAAAGAAAAATATAATTAAAAGTTGGGAAAGTATATTAAACAAGAATGAGAGAACGCTGTAAACTGGTGAAGCTGAGTGATAGGTAGTTAGGGGTTAATCATATTTTTCCCTATAATTGTATATATCATATATGTAAAGTTTCCCAAATAAAAAAATTTAGAAATTATTGATAATAAGTTTTAAAACATGGGTATTTTTAATTAAAAAGAAATTGTTGACTCTGCCTTGGGGCTGGCTTAGGAGATTTACTATTTACTTATAGTTTTTTTAAATTGCTTGAACATTTTTATCAAACACATTACTTTCTCAAAAAAAGTACATGTATGTATGTATACACACATATACCACAGACACATATATACATATACACATACACATACATACATACATGCAGAGCACTTACTTCCTAAGGACTGGTTATGCATTTAGCTCACCAGTTGTGTGCCCTTGGGTAAGTTACTACCAAGCCTTCTTATGTAAAAATAACGTTTAAATGACATAATGCATTTGAAAATATCCAGCACGGTGTATGGCACAATATAGGTATTCACTTAGTATTGATGTAAATTACATTAAATATGTGGGGGGGACAGACGTGGTGGCTCACATCTGTAATCCTAGCACTCTGGGAGAGGGGAGGATTGCCTAAGGCCAGGAGTTTGAGACCTGCCTGAGCAAGAGCAAGACCCTATCTTTACAAAAAATAGAAAAATTAGATAAGCGTGGGGGTACATGCCTATAGTCCCAGCTGCTTGAGAGGCTAAAGGAGGAGGATTGCTTGAGCCCAGGAGTTTGAGGTTGCATGATGCCACTGCACTCTATCCCAGGCAACAGAGCAAGACTGTCCAATATATATATGTGAAACTAGATTTATTATAGGAAGTAGTCCTGCCCCTAACATTTGAGGGGCTGTGAGCAAGAGGACAAACAGAGGCACCCAACCCATGGCTTGTTCTCAACTTTCTGCACTCTACCAGAGGGTCTTATACACATGTGTGTGGATATTTTAACAGGCATGATCAAATTCCACCACTACCAACAGCTGCCCTTTGACCACTTGTGAAGCCTAGGTGTGTGCATACTTATCCTTTATTCTACAACTGCACAGGCTCTGGAAGTGGGCTTCTGGTTAGTTGTCAGAGAATTTTGGGGTTGTAGGTAACAAGAACCTAGTCTGAAGTGTGTAGGGGTAACATAGTGTAGGGAGAGATGTACTCTTGGAATTCCTTGGCCCACATGAAGAGATGTGGCTAAAGAAGGACCAAGTGGGTTCTTTCAAAGCAAAGGGCCCAGGGCATGGCCACAGGTGTCTGGATCTAAAAACAATACTGATTTGAGACAAGGTGTTACATTAAACCACTCAAAAGAGTAGGAGTCAGAAGACATGAATTCTTGCCCCAATTTTGGCCCCAATTAAGTTCACTTCATGTGAACTTAAGCCAATGGCTACCTCATCGTGCCTCAGTTTTCTCATACATTCATTTAATAAATATTTATGGAGCTCCAATTATGAACCAGACATGCATCTAGATACTGGGAAGACACAGAGAACTCAAAAGACAATTGTCCTTGCCCTCACTGACTTACCATTCTGACAGGGAGCAAGCCATGAAGATATCTGGGGCAAATGTATTCCAAAGGGCCCCTTCTAAACCAAAATTTTCATGATTAATCTTCAAAGTTGACATGTTTATTAGATGCAAGTATTGAAAGACTCCTAAAAGGAAAAAAAAAGTGTATGTTAAACTATAATGCAATATTATCAAGATCACAAAACATGTCTTTTATGATTGATTCTCTAACATAACAGTAGGAGCACTCCACAACTGCTGTTCTAATTTTAATCATGAACATTATCGCCATATGCAGCATGAAACCCAATCTCTAAATGTGCCATTTTCTTTATCTAATTACTTATTTTATTTAATTACATATATTTTACACAGAAGATACATTTATGTAAAAATAATATAATCACAAAGCATTTATTCACATTTTAAAATAAAATACATCAAGATAATGTAGCAGGTACTTTTTTAAACGTTTCAGAAAGGTTAATAGCTCTATTATGTAATTAAGAAGGGTGTTCACAGAAAGAGGTGAATAAAGTGTGCAATGAAGTGTAAATAGTCTAAGAGACACTTATATTTATACTAAACCAACTATGAATGGGTACAGCATCCTGACTACATCAACTATGGAATGTTTGGAGTCATGGCAGACAATCTGTCAGACAACTAGGAGTCAAGTGAGAAGAGCTAAAATATCTTGGATAAAACAGTGAAGAATTATTTCTAAAAGGGTAGGTAGTTAATGCAACTGATGTCTTCTGTACTTCTAGTCTGACCTAAAAGCAGTTATACAAGGAGAGCTCCAAAGCTCATATTGTTCTAGCCATTTCATCCTCACCTTCTCAAAGTTGAAGAGTTGCCCATTTTCACAAAATATCAATTATAATATAGGAACTATTTATACTTGTTAGATTTCACAACTAGAATCATCTCAGAGTACAGTGAATGTCTAGATAAAAAGATCAAAACACCCATAATGCAGTGTGCACTGGAGTCTATGCAACCAAGTCCTGCCTTCTCTGTCTCAGTTCAAATTAATAAAATAGAATAGAAGGGAACACTGTGCAACCTTTATTATTAATAGTAGTATAGCTTTTTTATGGCAGCTACTTCCACCAGATGGCACTAAAGATACTCTGTTTTAGGAATCAGGACCCTTTAAAAAAGAAAATCAGAAGGCAAAAATGATCTCTCTGAAATCAACAATAAATTTCTCTGGTAAATTGTCCAGTTATAATGATCAATTTCTTAGAAATGAAATATGAATCTGGACCATTTATTAATTTAATATGTATTAAACCATATTATGTTTCAGATACTGTCCCAGTATTAGGGAATACAGAAACAAGACATGGTCCCTTGTACTTAAGAGTTTCCAGTGTAAGAAGGGAGGGATATAGTGATGGTAGAGCAAGTAAAAAAGTAAAATGAAAAAAAAAAAGAAAAGAAAAGAAAAGAAAATTGAAATGCAGAATGTTAAAGACTTGACAGAGCTCATCACAGAGTACCATGGGTGGCACATACAGGGGCACCTAATGAAAACTTGGTGAATGGAGGATTCCTAAAGTTGATGTCTGAAGTGAGCTTTGAAGAATAGGTAGGAATTAACCAGGGAAAGAAGAGTGGGAAGGGTGTCCTAACAGAGCAAGCAGCATGTACAATCATAAAAGAAGGCTAAAGCTCAGTGTGCATGCTGGGGTTGAGATGGGGAAGTACAAGAAATGAGATAGACTAGGCTGGCAGAGGTAGGGTCATGGGAAGCTAAGACACGTGGAATTTTATCCTATAGGTACCTCCTACTCTTTTCCCCCTAGCTCATTCTTAGACTGCCTCCTCACTGTTGCCCAGATAGAGCTAGGCATGTTCCTCTCTCAGCAAGCACTGACTCTTCCTTTATTGGAACTACCTTTTCCCCAATCATCTGCCTGGGTCACTCCTTTACCTTCAAGCCATTGCTCAGATATCACCTTCTCAATGATACTTATCCTGACCACTCCATTTAAATTGCAACACCCTTACCCTGCACTATGGATACTCCTCACTCTGCTTAATTTTTCTCCATGGCACTCTCACCTTCTAACACACTATATAGTTTACTATGTTTGTTTATTGTTTATTGGCTACTTTCTTCTACTAAAAGATAAGTTCCACGAGAGTAGGGATTTTTTCTGCTTGTTCTAACAATGTATCTCTGGTGCCTGGCACATCAACCTTATGGAACTTACTGTTTTAGTGGGGAATAAGCCATAAACACATTTGGGGAAAACATATTTTAGGTGCTCACAGGATATCTGATGAATAAACAAAGGTACTGAAGAGCTACCGAAGAGTACAATCGAAGTGGAATTTCAGAAAGATCACTAACAGGGTTGTTAAAAATGGACTGCAAATAGGGACACCAAATAGTAATCCAGACAAAGTATGACAAGAACTTAAACTAAAGCAAAGAACCGGGAGGGAAAGGGGAAAGTGAATTCAGAGCTATGATGGAGGCAATAATAACAACAGTAAAAAGAGCCCCCTGTAATAAGTGGGCTGATACTTTACAAATTACCTCCAAATCCTGCATCAATCAAGAGAGAATAAAGAGTTTAAATGACAGAGAGAGAGAGAGGGAGGGAGGGAGAGCACACTAAGGACCCTGGGAAGTAGCAACATTTAAGATAAAAGTGGAAAAAGTAGTGCCTAGCATTACTTTTCCCAGCAGGGAAAAAGCAGTGTTCGAAATGGCAGGAGGTAAAAGAAAAATCAGAAATAGTGTATGGAAACCAAGGGAGAAGAAAGTTTCAAGGAGAAGAAAGTTGTCAGTGTCAAAAGCTATAGTCTCATCCATGTCTCATCCAAAAACCACTTGTACCCCTAAATCCATTGAAATAATAAAATAGAAAAACAAAGCTCAGTGAATTCAGTTAGATAAGAACTGAAACATATCCACTGGATTTCACAAATAGAAGTTACTGGTGAGAGCGAATGCCAGATTATACTGTATTCAGGAGTAAAATGCAAGGAGAAGAATTAAGGAAGCAAATGCAGACTATTTTTAAAGAGGTTTGGCTATAAAAAGAGAAATTGGGAATGAGAGAGGGACATAGGGTAGAAGGAGAGAATGAAGCACAGGTATGAGTTAAAAGAAAGATCCACTAGACAAGAGAGAATAAAGACAGAAGAGAGAGAAGAGGCAGGTAGGGCTGGACTTCAGAGCACAGGTTTCCAGAAAAAGGATTCTTTCCTTTGAAGCAAAGGAGGGGGAAGGATGGTGCCCAATAGAGACAGATGTAATGGTGAAAGGTAAGTCTGACAGAGCTCTCTGGTTCTCTTCCATATATTCACTCAATGTCTTGTGGTACTGATCAAGCAAACTTTCCAATCCAGACCTCCCTGATTTCTTGATAGGTCATTCTCTTACTGGCTTTCTTGCTTTCAGTACCTTCCGCTGTCCTGGGCAACTGTGGTGGGTTGAAACTCTTTAGACACATTGATGGGCCCTGGTTACTTTCATCAGTCCTGTTCCTCTGATCCCCTGACTTTTGCACTTCCTTGTAACTATTTGCTGCCTAGGGTCCCCAGACAGATGAATCAGTGTGCGAAAAGATGAAAGATACTGCACTAATTCTGAGAAAGGAGCATTCTTAACAAATACCCTCTCATCCCATACTACTGTGGATAGTGGTCTGCACTATCCATAAAATTCTTGTCTGAATGTGACCCTGCTTGTTCTCCCATTATTTAAGATCACTATTCTCTGTCTCATCAATAATAGGTCTTCGGCCGGGCGCGGTGGCTCACGCCTGTAATCCTAGCTCTCTGGGAGGCCGAGGCGGGCGGATTGCTCAAGGTCAGGAGTTCAAAACCAGCCTGAGCAAGAGCGAGACCCCATCTCTACTATAAATAGAAAGAAATTAATTGGCCAACTGATATATATATATAAAAAAAATTAGCCAGGCATGGTGGCGCATGCCTGTAGTCCCAGCTACTCGGGAGGCTGAGGCAGAAGGATCGCTTGAGCCCAGGAGTTTGAGGTTGCTGTGAGCTAGGCTGACGCCACGGCACTCACTCTAGCCTGGACAACAAAGCGAGACTCTGTCTCAAAAAAAACAAAAAACAAAAAAAAAAAATAGGTCTTCATTAAACACCTAGGCACTAAGTTGGTTACCAAGGCTTTCTCACCTTAAAAGAGAGAGAATATATATGCATTTTATATAGAGAGTCAGTATGTATATATACATGTTATATATGTAAATATATATGCATATATACACATAGACATACGTAATAAATTGGAACAGTACTACAAGGTAGCACAAACTGCAAGGTGGACAATATACGCAAAAGAACTATTAGGCTCAAATCTGGAGCCTTGGAATAACAGGGAAAGTTTCAAGGAGGCACTGTGAAGCAGGCCTAACATGAAAGCGTAGGTTTAAATAACAAAGGTAAAAAAAAAAAAAAAAAAAAATAAATAAATAAATAACAAAGGTAGGGGAATGTTGCAGAGAAATTGGCAAAGACCAAGAAATGTGCTTGGTAGTGTTTAGGGAACAACTAAAAGGCTGGTTTTTAGAATCCCCTAAGGAATCCAGACATTATCCTACAGAGATGGGGAGGTACTGAAGGTTTTAGAATGAAGACTGACTTATACCATGTTTTTACAATTCATTTGGAAGAACTATGTAGACCAATTGAAAAAAAAGGGAGAAAAAAAATTAAAGACTATTGTGATACTTGAGAGTAATAAAGTCCTATACTATTAATACCATAAAAATTCTATGCAGTAAGGTGTTGGCAGTCTGGATGGAAAGAAATTGGTGCCTGCCTAGATATGGAAAAAGAGAATGGAGGCCAAGAGTACTATAAGGTTTCAAGCTGGAGAGAAGGGGAATGATGATACTCTGGAGAAAATAAAATAGGAAAAATCAGATAGCACAGTTTAGTGAGCAACGAAGTTTAATGAAGTTTAAGATATGTGGGGCTTAAGGTGAGGGAAACACATTTGGGTGCAGATTTATAATAAATAGTGACAAAATTCAGGGGAGAGGACAGTACTGGAAGTGTGGGTCTAGAAATTATCTGCCCAAGAGGGCAGATAATTACCTTTCTTACCTTTCTTACCTTTTCCCCATAGCGGGAAAAGGTAAGGAATAAGATG